TTCCCTCCTCCGTTAGATGCTCACCCAGTCTCCACTCCTTCAAAAAATCGTTAAAAACCCACTTCTTCATAAAAGCGTATCAATTAAACTGTTAATAGCTCCTGACTGATTCCTCTTCTGCAACTGTCATTAGTCTAATACTATCCTTATCTTTTGTGTCATTTTACCCCACTCCCTCTAGCATGTAAGCTCATTGAGCAGGGCCCTCAACCCCTCTGTTCCTGTGTGTCCAACTTGTCTGGTTACAACTACATGTCTGTTTGTCCACCTATTGTAAAGCGCTGCGGAATTTGATGGCGCTATATAAATAACATCATAATAATAATAATATATAGGTAGAGTCCGGGTCCAGTTGGGTAACGCCCTTAAACCCCAAACTTGGGTTATCAAGGGCAAATAACCCCCCAAGGATTCCGAAATCAAAAAAGAAAGTCACTGGGTTGTACTAGCGCACAGGGGGTAACCCTAATAGAAATAGTAAACACAAAAAAGAAAAATACTAATTCACCAGCACAGATGCCCAAGAGGGTATTGTGCCAGGAAAAAGATGTACAACCCTTGAAAAATGTACTAAATGAAAAAAGATATTTACAACACTCCTTCAAAAAATCGTTAAAACCCCACTTCTTCATAAAAGCGTATCACTTAAACTGTTAATAGCTCCCGACTGATTCCTCTTCTGCAACTGTCACTAGTCTAATACTATCCTTATCTTTTTGTGTCATTTTACCCCACTCCCTCTAGCATGTAAGCTCATTGAGCAGGGCCCTCAACCCCTCTGTTCCTGTGTGTCCAACTTGTCTGGTTACAACTACATGTCTGTTTGTCCACCTATTGTAAAGCGCTGCGGAATTTGATGGCGCTATATAAATAACATAATAATAATAATAATATATAGGTAGAGTCCGGGTCCAGTTGGGTAACGCCCTTAAACCCCAAACTTGGGTTATCAAGGGCAAATAACCCCCCAAGGATTCCGAAATCAAAAAAGAAAGTCACCGGGTTGTACTAGCACACAGAGGGTAACCCTAATAGAAATAGTAAACACAAAAAATAAAAATACTAATTCACCAGCACAGATGCCCAAGAGGGTATTGTGCCAGGAAAAAGATGTACAACCCTAGAAAAATGTACTAAATGAAAAAAGATATTTACAACATAATTTATTAATGAAGCTAAAACACTTAGTCTCCTACCTAATAGGTACTCAAGTAGGGTAGGTATATGTGCCTATATCAAAGCAGATGGTAACTATCATGGATAATCCAAAAGAAAAACTGCGGTAGAAATATAATGCCTAGTCTAAATAAGTAAAGAGGGTATCAATAAAGGCGTGTCTGACGAGTAAAAAAAAAAAAAGTCACTCCATCTATACACTACACAGCCCTAGGTAATCTAAAAAAAAAACCTCTATCCATAGATACATTCTATCCATTGATACATTCTATCCACGCAGTTCTACTAAACAGAATCCCTGTTACCTCAGCATAGCCTAGAGCTGATGCCTACCACCACTACTAGTCTTATGGAGGGACTAAACACACAATCAATTGCTAAAATCACCCACAACCCAAGTGCATAGTGATTTATGTTTATGTGGCCTTATGTATGTAGGGAAGACCTTTCGTCCCTTCAAATGTAGAATTAGGGAACATGTAAATTCGGTGAGGAGACGTCTGGAGACCCCTATATCGAGACATTTACGTCTTTGTCATAATCATTCTTCAGCGGGAATACGCTTTACGGGGTTAGAACACATACCTCAACCCCCACGGAAAGGTGGTTGGGACACTAAACTCCGCCAGCGGGAGGCTTATTGGATCTTTAAACTCCAGACTTTATCACCACACGATCTTAATGAGGGGTTTTCATATACCCCTTTTATTTAACTAATGATCATTATTTTAGTAACTATGTGGGTTTCTTTAAATGTCATTTATGATTAATTATTAGTATTTAATTATTATTTTGAAGTTATTATTTTTTACTTTATTCTTTATTGCTTATTATTTAAGGATTATTAAGCTACATGTACATCTCCATAGATAATTCCAGTGATACTATACCTCCCTTGCACTGTATTCATGGACTATTGTAATGCCGCCCATTTAGTGACGTCATTGAGACTCACTAGGGCTATCAGTGAGGGCAGGTTTAGCTATAGCGGCTGATTTCCGCCCTTTCTTTTCCCCTCCCTGCCCACGTGACTTAGCAATGATGTAGTAGTCACGTGGGCTATGCGGAAGTGGTTTGGGCTGTATTGATCGCTACCGTATGATAGGTGGGCGGAGTCTCGTCCGGACCAACGGTATGCGAATATCTATTATGGGAATCAGCTGCTAATGATGTTTAATCACACACTGGATTTATAAGGAAGCGGGAGATGCGGGTAGCTTTTGTATTTGCCCCTGACGACGGCGTCTCGATACGCCGAAACGCGCGTCGGGCTTTTTCTTTTTCTTTTAAATCCGTTCACTATGCACTTGGGTTGTGGGTGATTTTAGCAATTGATTGTGTGTTTAGTCCCTCCATAAGACTAGTAGTGGTGGTAGGCATCAGCTCTAGGCTATGCTGAGGTAACAGGGATTCTGTTTAGTAGAACTTCGTGGATAGAATGTATCAATGGATAGAATGTATCTATGGATAGAGGGGTTTTTTTTAGATTACCTAGGGCTGTGTAGTGTATAGATGGAGTGACTTTTTTTTTTTACTCGTCAGACACGCCTTTATTGATACCCTCTTTACTTATTTAGACTAGGCATTATATTTCTACCGCAGTTTTTCTTTTGGATTATCCATGATAGTTACCATCTGCTTTGATATAGGCACATATACCTACCCTACTTGAGTACCTATTAGGTAGGAGATTAAGTGTTTTAGCTTCATTAATAAATTATGTTGTAAATATCTTTTTTCATTTAGTACATTTTTCTAGGGTTGTACATCTTTTTCCTGGAACAATACCCTCTTGGGCATCTGTGCTGGTGAATTAGTATTTTTCTTTTTTGTGTTTACTAATAATAATAATAATTACTTCGGGTACACTGTAGTACTTAAGTTGCTTGGACACATGCCCTGAAATTGTGATCAAATAAGATCATGATCCCATCAACTCAGTAGTCCTAAACAATCTCAATAAATCATAGTTTAGTAGATTACTCTAAGTGTGTGATACAGAGTGGCTAGTAGACTCAATCTGCAACAGTTTGTGAAATGATATCTGTTGCAGAGATGGCTACATGTGAAGGTTACAATTGTGATAATTAAAATACACAGTTTAGGAAACTGAGCTGGATGTCCTGTTAGTGTCAAGAAGACAAACCTAGTATTTAGTGCTGCATGATGTAATAAAATTAGGGGTAAAAAGGTTGGGAAAAGCAAAGGTTTGATATTACACCTTCAAAGCTAAAAGCAACTAAGGACAGAGGAAAGGAAAAAAGGGGGGAGAGAAATGAAAACAATGTATCTCCCTATAGTGCCTTCGTGGACACCCCTTACCCCTAATCAAATCCCTAGCCAGAAAAACAATATTAATCACCCCAGCCACCCACACAGAAATAATAGTTAGATACTTTATAGTCTTATTGCCAGTGGAACAGGAAAAATTGCCATGTCGAAGTAAAAAGATTATATTGAATCTTGAATGCCTGATAGCAATGTATAGAGATTTAGTGGAAACAGCAAAGCCCCTAACCCCTGACGTACGTTGTTTCGCTAGATCAGCTCATCAGAGGGAAGTTTTAGTGTATAGATCATGCCCTGCAGTCTCACTGCTTAATTCTCTGCTATTTAGGAATTAAATTACTTTTGTTTTTGTTTATGCAGCCCTAGCTAGGCCTTCCTGTGACTCACACAGCCAGCATGAAAAAAAAAATCGTTTCATATTCAATCAGATGTGACAGCATAGTATGTTTACTTTAGATGTTTTTATCTCCTGCTCTGTTAATTCAACTTCAATCTTACACAGGAGGTTCCTGAAGTCTATTAACAGAGTACAAGATACAAAATTCTAAATTAAACAGACTGTGTAATAAAGGAATTTTAAACATAAGTGCTTTCTTTATAGGAAATGTGTAGGGAGACTGTGTAGGTCACACGCAAGGGAAGGAATGATAAAGTTATTTTGGTGCTTATAGTGTACCTTTAAGATCCTTGGTTATCACCATTATACCTATTTTACTGATTCCTATTGTTTTCACTATAAAATATGTCTACTTAAAAATGTGTTCATCATTATGTCTTTGTAAATAAAATTATTTGGTCTCGTTCAAAAGAATCATTAGCTACTCCTTGGCCTGAACTCCAGTCCCATTCCTTAAAATGAAAGTCTCTGCTTTCAAAATAAAGGCCCATAATGATAAATATTTGTAACATATACACAATAATGAAAAACAATACACGCATTAGAAAAATGAACCTACAGACATTAAAATAGTACATTTAAAAGGACAAACTGTATGCAAGCTTTATAAAAATTAAATTAAAAAAAAGCTCAAGCTAAAAGATACAAATAAATAAAACAAAAGGTTGGGGAAGTATGTGTAGGAGACAAGCCCACTCATTGTTATACTGTATATATTGATCTGTAAGATTGCTGGAACAGAACCCTCATCAGATTTATTACTTGTGCTATCACAGTAACTTGAATGTTTTGTTTACTCAAAGGTGGCGTGCATTTTACCTCATTTTTAATAAAATGTATTTTCTTTTTGTTTTGTTCTTTTAATTGAGATTGGGAATTTGTTTCCTGTTATGGGTTCCCTTATATTGATATGTAAAGTTGCCTCTGTAATGAGATGGTTTTGTTAAGATGAGACAGTACACTAACTGCCCTTGGTTTACAATAGAATTTTATCTGGTAATTGGAAAATCAATGTATTTGTCTTTTGTTTTATTTTTATTTTTCTGCTAAGACACAATGTCCTAATGCCACAAACTCAGCAACAAAGTGTCCAAACACTACTTAAATACATATACATATATATTAAAATGGTATTACCATGTGGAATGGAAACCCCGCCCCTTTACAAGCTAGCCAATCAGAAACCTCGCACGGCAAAGGTCACGTGCTCTTTCCTGGCTGTGCCTTTACCCTGCGATGCTCGTTTGTCCCTTGTGGCGATCCGTACTGGAGGCGTCGAGCTGTTTTCTTACTAAGAGGAAGACAGAGGGATTGTGCCGATGTGCCGTGTGTTCCGGGTCTGCTTCCCAGGTAACACCGGGGTCACAATGAGCGGTCTGGAGAGGACCTAAAGCACCGCTACAGCGCGGGAGCCGGACCTGTGCTGGGAGAGTGCCCTGCCGTGCTCCGGCCTCCCGGTAGCTGCTGCTATCAGTATTACAGCGGGGGCAGAGCTCTGATGTAGGCCTAATAAATAGCCACCCTACTTTAATCACCTCCCCTGTGTGTGTAACTCCCCCGTGTGACCCCCAGTAGTGTAACTCCCCAGCTGTAACTCCCCAGTGTAACCCCCTGTGTGACCCCAGTGTAACCCCCGTGTACTCCCCCAGTGTACCCCCTGTGTGACCCCCAGTGTAACTCCCCCAGGTGAGACCCTCGTGTGACCCCCAGGTGTGTGACCCCCGTGGTGCGACCCCTAGGTAGGTCCCCGTGTGACCTCCCCAGTGTACCCCCAGGTGACCCCCACCCCCCCTGCACCTCTCCCCCTGCGTGAGGTGACCAGGTGACTCCCCAGGTGAGTGACTGACTCAAGTGCGTGTGAGGTAGGTGACCCCCCCCCCCGTGTGACCCCCCAGTGTACTCCCCGTGCTCGCTACTCTACCCGGTGAGACCCCCGTGTACCCCCCAGTGTGTGAGAACTCCCGCACTGCCATCTATTACTGCCCACACAGATCTCCGCACTTCACTCAAACTATCTAAGCACAGTGAGCAGGCTTAACACTAAACTGCAGCAGCTTTAGTAGTCATATTGGAGACTGCACATCTTAACTCAGACCACATATTGGACTACCAGATTTCTACTTATCTAACACAGCCAGGCTTATTCACTAAACCAGCAGCTGAGCAGAATTAATAAGGAACTGCACATTTTAGTAGTCATATTGGAGACTTTCTGTAACTCAACCATTTTTTCTTACTAAGACTTGCAATTCCCTTTTCTATTTACAAAAATTCTAATTTAACGTAATAAGCCCTGTATGCCCATACTGCCAGAGCTGTGCTTGTTAAAGGGACACTAGCCACCCAGACCACGCCCCGCTCATTGAAGTGATCTGGGTGCAGTGTTCCAGTCCCCTTAGTTCTGCAATGTAAACAAATTCCCTTAGTCCTGCAATGTAAACCATAGCATATTTTTGAGAAACAAGGTTCTCTACTGGCTGTCTACCAGACATCCACTAGAGCCGCCTCTGGGAGCTTACCAGACTCTGTCGCCTAAGCTGAACATCCTCACACTATGCCTGAGGACATCCAACTGCAGTGACAGCCCAGTAGGAAAAATAGGAATTGATTCAATGCTTTCCTATGGGGAGGGCCGAATGCGCTTACTGCACATCAGGTCCCACCCCCAATTGGAGGAGCTGGAGCGCCGACACAGTGCTGAGGGACATTGGTGTTGGAATCAGTTGAGTAAATAAAGGAGGGGGAGCCATGAGGTAGGGGGAACCAGAGTTAAAACAGCTTTGTATTCCTAACATTATAGATTCCTTTTAAAATCACACACTGTACAAGTCTGTTAAATCATGTGTGCAAACATCCTGTGCCTTGCACATAAGCATTGCCTATTTCCCTAGTTCTTTGCATGGGCTTTGTGTGCTGCCTGGGCCGTACGCGTGGGAGCCACATGCTGCCACCAAGCCATTTGCCATAGCTCTGTATGTTATAATTGTGAGCTGTTTAAGTTCCGCATCTGTCTGTGTGCAATACCCTAGTCATAACATTTGCTGCTTAGTGGCCCAATTGTGTGAATCCCTGCTTTGTGTGTAGGCTGAACTATTTGCAATATGTCTATCACATACACGCTGGTTCATACTTACACTTTACTCAAGGATGCATACAAAAAATACATACTTAACTCCTCCATCTCATCTAGTGTTAGATCCCCACCATGATTTCCATGACTTAGGTAGCTTACACATTTTGATGGTCCGCACATAAAGTTTACTATTTTGAATTTAAAGGCTGCAGATTGGAAATTAAGGGGTTAATGGAATGCTCCAAACACCATAAACATTACAGACCTTGGTTGTGCTTATAGTATTTGGTATGTTTAACCACATCCGGCCTTCTGCGAAACAGGACCGTGCGCATCGGCTGTTGATTTATTTTTTTCTTTCACTTTTGGCTCTGCACTGTTTAATTTATTTATTCTTCAATATTAAAGTATATGTTTACTTTCACTCTCTGTTTTTTGTCAGTCCTCATCTTCTATGACTGCTGATATCTGTCTTTAAATACCCAAGATTTATATTGCAAACTGCCCTGCCCTACACTTTACTTCATTACTGTTCTAATTAAAGGTTAGGGCTACGAAAACAGGCGGACTTCCTCATTAGCTCGTTCAACATTGGGGGCGGTGATAGGTTGAGAGCACTGTGCTAACACACCCTCAGCCCATCATTGCCTTCCCAAATTGGAGGGATTAATGCAAAGTGTGTTTGTCTTTAGCAGCAAAGCAGACAAGCGACCAGGAGAGCAGATTATTTTTTTTTTCCTTCAAGCCACTTGATAATGATTTGACACAATCTGGAGGAATGGTTCCCACCGACTCCTTGTACCACAGCCGCTCAATGGTCATACCATGACTCCTTGTAGCAGTGTGTGTGTGTGTTTAATACATTGATAAACACAAATTCACACACCAGTCAAGCCATAAGACTTGCTTTTCCCACAAAAATCTCACTTTAACAGTGCTCTCACTACTGTACAGGATACTGGGTAGGCGTATGCAAATGAGCGTGTGTATTCTCCCCTTCTCCCCCCTTTTATAGTTGTTGTAGTTTGCACAGCAACCATTCATGCCTAAGAGGAACTTGCCGTAATATATATATTATATTATTATTTATATTATTATTATTATTATTATTATTTAGAACGGATTTGATTAATGTTTGTGTTTTATCAGGCAATCTAAACACCCACTTTAACAAATGATAATAGATTTGCTCATCTTTGAGGACTATTGGACATTTTTCTTTTAGAAAATAAATCTAACTTATAAACATACCTTTCTATGCATTAAAACCAATCACTATGCTTTTATGTTACAGGTTCTATTTCAGTTCAGAATGTGGCAGAAAAATGAAAGAACACAGGAAACTTTTTAGTAATAAAGGAGGTAATTTGCTGTTGTTGAAACAGTCATGGGCGACATCATTTGGAGTATTTAGAAAATTCTTCCAAAAGAGTCAAAATGTGTTCTTTCGGAATAGATGGAGTGTTATATCCACTGACTGCGTGAAGAAAAAGAAGAGTAAGTCGCATTTGCTGAGGAGAAAAGACGTGAATATTCAGGATAGCTGTTGTACAGCAAAAGGAAAGCACTCTTCTAAACGTAAGCCATTTTACAATAGGCATCCATGCAAGAGTGCCTTTGGTAGAGCTTCATATGGATGTACATGTAGTAGAAGAATAAACAGAACACAGTGGACCTCAAAACTGCTCAACAATGTTAAAGGAGAACCGGTGATTTCAAAAGAAGAATCAAACAATGATTTTTTCAGTAAGAATATTTTGACTTTGGAAGTTAAAAAGGGAGTATGTCAAACCACTGAACATGATGATGGTGACAATAACCTTGTGATTTTCAACAGTTTTAAAAAAACGCCTTCTCGTATTTTAAAGCAAAGATGCTTTGATGGCCTGTGGTTGTCAAGAACGTGCAATTTGTTTTCTAGAGGAAAGGTACCTTTATTTATGATGCATAAAAAACTTTCTGTGTTTACAGTTCGTGGTAGAGTGCAGCCCCAGAAACTCAGAGCAAGAAACAGAAGCTTTAAATTAGTGGACATTAGCCGGCCGTGGATTCAGAAAGTATTCTGGAAAGGCTGTCGTAAATCCCTGAGAAGCAAGGTTTATAAAGCCATTTCTTATTTGAAATCAAAGATTCAGAGACCTGTTCAGTATATAAGTAGGGCATTCGATATGAACAATAAGACGTCAGGAGTTTTATGCGAAAACCAACAATGTACATCCAACACCTCACTGAAAGGTGAGACTATAAAACTTGAAAGTATTACAGGCCAGTTGGTGAATGTTGCATCTAGTAAACTTATATTAAAACCCAACCAGCAACAGCTTTTTGGCACAGTCACACAGTGGGACAGTGGGGAAGCCTTATCTAGAAAACCCAGTGACGTTCCTGCATTGAACAATTGTCCTGACGATGTACATATTTTGGTTACAGAAAAAGAAGTTTCCATATCATGTCAGGGTGATGCAGTTGCAGAGACAGAGGAAGGTGATGAATTCATGTTGCTGGCCCCTGACAAATTAAAGTTAGGTGCAAATGAAAATGCTGGATACCAGGAAAACCTTCACATGGATGTAGTGGAAAATGGTGACGATTCTTCCCACATGAATGCTGAGGAATCTACAAACTCTGATGTCTGTAATACAAAGCTGTTGGATCACCCTTACTGTAAAAGTCCACCTCCTCACGGCTCCTCTCTAGATACAGCGCTAGAAGCAATGGCTAAACAAGATGATGTGAAGAATGGAAAGAAAATTATTAGCAATGTCCCTGATGAGCAACTGGCATCATTCCTTTCTGGTATATACAATTATTTATATAACATTTAGCAACACATATGATGTGTTTTACATAGGGAAAAACATGTTACACCAAAGTGCTCTTTGTATAGGATGACCATGAATGTCACTTTTTTAGGGGTACTTGAAACTGTAAACTGCAGAACGGCATTAAAACATTGCTACCCTTTAGGTTGCAAGTTTCATAAGCAGCTCCAGTTAAAGAGGTAGTATGTCCGGTCTGCTTATCCAGCTATATATGTGTTTATATGTATGTGTGTTTGTTTAAAAAAAAAAAAAAAAAATACATATATCTATCTCATTAAGTTGCACTCCTGGTAAGATAATGCCTGGAGCAGGTCTAGTATAAAATATAAACAAAACAGAAAATCTGCACTCCTAGGACTTGAAATAGATGTAATAAAACTTAGCTTTTTTTTAGCAATATCCATAAAAGAGGTCAACATTTCAGCTCCTAGCATGTCCTGATGAAAGCTCCATGCTAGGAGCTGAAACGTTGACCTCTTTTATGGATATTGCTCAATAAAAGCTAAGTTTTTATTACATCTATTTCAAGTCCCAGGAGTGCAGTTTTTCGGTTTATATATTATGATACATAAACACCTATTGCAAATTTTATGGTGTATTATATCAGAAAAATAAACAGGTTGCTATATTGAGACTTTTATGTAATATATAAATGGAGATTTGATATACACTGGTACAAAAGGATTGAAACATCTGTTCTCAAACTGTTACAATGTGGTGGGGAGTTTGAGGAGATATGGATGGTAATGTTTAGTGAAGCGAGATCAGGACTGTGTGAAAGGTGTGATGGAAGAGTTAATTGGAAAGTCATATAACACACCTGAATGTGTACAAAATGTAGATTAAGGAACAACACGCACACAAGGTTAATTAAAGGGACTTTCCAGTGCCTTCCTGGCACTGCAGGTTCCTGCATTGCCCCTCTCCCTCCCATCCCATGTTGCTGAAGGGGTTTAAACCCCTTCAGACACTTACCTGAATCCAGCGCCGATGTCCCTCGGTGCTCGGTCAGGCTCCTTCCCTGCTCCTCCCCTGCCGATGTCAGCCAGCAGGGGAGACCTAATGCGCACGCGTGGCAATGGCTGTGCGCGCATTAGACCTCTACATAGGAAAGCATTGAATAATGCTTTCCTATGGGGATTCCGGCGACGCTGGAGGTCTTCAAGCATAGCGTGAGGACGTCCAGTGTCGTTTAAAACACTTTTCAGGTTTTAAGAACCGGAAATCGCTCTAGTGGCTGTCTGATAGACCACTCCAATAGGCAGTGGTCTGGAGTGTCCCTTTAATGGTAGACCCAGATCATTTCATGTTATTGAATTGGTCTTGTTGCATTGCCCCTGTCTGTTTAATCCTGCAATGTCAAACGTTGCAGTTTCTGAGTGATTACATTGCAGGGTTAACTGTCTTTCATATTTTCACTAGAGTTGCTTCCAGGTCCCTATAGGCGTTTTACTCCTTTAACCCCTTAAGGACACATGACATGTGTGACATGTCATGATTCCCTTTAATTCCAGGAGTTTGGTCCTTAAGGGGTTAAGCAATGTTGTACGTCTAACATCTTCATATTCCCCTTAGAAAAGCATTGCTTCAATGCTTTCTTACAGGGAAGCTTTATTGCTCTCACAGCTCTTGCCGTGCATGTGAATTAGGTCCCAACATCACCTAGTCAGCACCGAGGGGGTCAGTGGCGTACATACCGGGGTCGCGGCTGCGACCAGACCACCAGGGTGCCCGGCCGCCCTGTGACCTGGTATGCACGCCAGTGTGGCCACATTTTGCCAGCCTCTTCTCCTGGGGGGCCCAGGAGCCGAGGCTGGCAGTGGCTTCAGTTTGCCAGCTGCTGGGCGCGCGTGCGGGGAAGGGAGCACTCTCCTCTGAGTGCTCTCTGCCCAGCTCCCTCGCGCTGCTAACTGATGCCGGAATATGACGTCATATTCCGGCTCTGGCATCAGTAAGCAGCGCGAGGGAGCTGGGCAGAGAGCACACAGAGGAGAGGGCTCCCTCCCTTGCGCGCGTGCCCGGCAGCCCAGCAGGACCCCAGGAACAGCAGGAATCCCCACAGCACTCCCAAAGGTAGGGAGGCTGGGGGATTAAATAAAATTAAACAAAATGTGTGTTACTGTGTGTGTGTCTGTTAATGAGTGTGTTAGTTTGTGTGTGTCTGCTACTGAGCGTCAGTAAGTGTTAGTGAATGTTATTGTGTGTGTGTCACTGAGTGTGTTTGTGTGTTATTGAGTGTCAATGAGTGTGTGTTAGTGTTTGTCTGTTAGTGAATGTGTGTTTGTCACTGAGAGTGTATGTTTTGTAAGTGAGTGTGTGTGTCTGTTAGCTATTGTGTATGCGTCTGTTTGTGAGAGTGTGTGTGTGTGTGTGTGTTTGTAGTTAAAACCCCTTCAGCACTTACCTTTTTCCAGCGCCGGGCTCCCTTGGTGCTGGGTATCTCTATGCCCAGATCCGCCTCTCGGCTCCGAATGTGCATGCACGCATTCAAACCGCCCATAGGAAAGCATTACTCAATGCCTTCCTATGGACGTCCAGCGGAATCGCAGAAGCGCCTCTAGTGGCTGTCAGTGAGACAGCTACTAGATGCTGGATTAACCCTCAGTGAAACATAGCAGTTTCTCTGAAACTATGTTTTTTAGCTGCAGGGTTAAAACTAGAGGGACCTGGCACCCAGACCACTTCATTGAGCTGAAGTGATCTGAGTGCCTATAGTGGTCCTTTAAGTGTATCTGCATGCACTGGCAGCCCTGCGACCAGGTGCCCGCTGCCATGTGTAGCGACACTGGCCCGCGCAGGGGGACCCCATGGAACTTGTGTACGCCACTGGAGGGGGCCATGGAACTGGAAAGAGGTAAGTTGAAAAAAAGGTTTTAAGCCTTTAACCCCTTAAGGACCAAACTTCTGGAATAAAAGGGAATCATGACATGTCACACATGTCATGTGTCCTTAAGGGGTTAAGCATCGGATGGTTTGGGGGACCTTTAAAATTGTGGTGCGTGGATATAAGGAAGTATATTTGGTCAGTGTTTCTCCTAGCTTATCCCTGTAAAGATCATGCCATAGCAGTCTCAATTTGGTTTAAAAATTACTTTTATTTGTGTTTTGGTAAGGGAAAAAACCCTACATAAATTTTTTATTTATTTTTTTTTTATACGATTCATTTTACTACAATAACAGAATAGTCATTATACCAACTAATTGTAAAGTAGAGCACCATAAATTCATGTTTAGGATGATTTTAAAAAAATGTTCAGTATAAGGATGTTAGTGGTGTATCTGCCTTGGTACACGTTATGCTAATTTTATAGAGCATAAAGTGTTGCTTGTGCCAGCAAACGTATAGATATGGACAAATGCCTATTAAAAAATTGGTCCATCTCCCACCTGTTAACCAGTTCTTTGGCATAGACTCCTGTGCTTAAGATTAACTGACACCTCCTTCAGGTGGTCCTCCTGCTCTCCGTGCATAGCAGTCACCGTGCATAGGTTGTTTATAGCTAATGCTAGTGAGTAAGGAACAGAATGACTGTTAGGTCATTGAGATGCTGACAATTAAGCCAGAGTGTTGGCATCACAGAGAAGGTTTGTTAGGGAATTCTTCCCAAGCAGAACAAATTAAATGAGAGATCGAGTGGAGGTAGAGACCAGAGGAGTACAACACCCCACGAAGAAGAAGACATGGAAGCACAGGACTGGGAATGAGGTGAGTTTTATCTTAAGGTTTTTGTTTATTATTATGAAAAACTATGTATTTAATACATGGGGAGTTTATTTATGTTATAGTGAACCTGTCACTTTATTGTTCAAAAAGTAATGATAATTTTAAAGGAAATTCAGAGTACTCTAACCACTACAGTATGATCCTATAAAGGGACACTCCAGACCCCTAAGGCACTTTAGCTTGCTGTGAAGTGTGTGTCCTCTTTTTTTTCAGTTTGCAAAAAGTGCAGAATTCAATAGAAATTTAAATTTTTAAAAATTAACCTAATAACACCTCCTTGCCTTTCAAGCAGATAACAGTTTTGGTTACTTCCCAGTTTGGTAAGTTCAGGGGCGCTGAACTCAAGAGGCAGCGATTGCTCAGAACATCTGACTTGCAAAGACTTCTCATTGACCTGTATTAGGAAGTCTGTTAATGGACAGCCACAGAAAGTCTGGGTGGAGTTAAAGTGGGAGGGTTTTACAAAGGCAGGAGACAAGAAAACTGCAGGTTTTGAAAGCTGTTTTTAAATATACCAGCAATGAAAAATACACAATTACCTGCATGCAAGCTTTCATTTGGGGTATGTCTACTAAACAATTATTTTTATTTATTTTGTGTTTGTGCATTGGAGTGTCCCTTTAATTCTAAAGGTTTTATTGTTGTGGTTGTGTTGTCTGTGTCAGACCCGCAATGGCAATGCGTATGTGCGCGTGACATCACGGTATGTTAGGGGATGAGAGACAGGAAGTAACATTACCGGCCCCAACACCCAGAGGACATGGACACGTGGGTTGAAAAGGTTTTAGTGCCGGGATAGGCACCCTTCGGCACTCCAGATGTTGTCGACTACATTCCCCATAATGCTCTTACACCCATAATGCTGGCAAAGCATCATGGGAGGTGTAGTCCAAAACTTCTGCAGTGCTGAAGGTTGCCTTTGCCTGTTTTAGGGTGTAGGACTGAAGGCAATATAACAACTTCAATAAGTTGAAGTTGTCGTCATGCCTACAGTGTTTCTTTTAACTGGTGCTCTCCCTCATGGGCACCGCCATCTTCTTTCTTCAGCAACTGACACTTAAACCACACGCAGTGTCACCGTTTTGCTCTTGCTTGTGAATAAGAGTCTTCCACATACCAGGATCCTCCATAGTCAAATTCTGCAGTGTGCAGAAAGATACCTATTTACCACATCTGTCACTAGGGATACCCGTGGGAATTGACAAAACATGACAAAGGCAGAGTGTTTTAACTCTAGATTGGACCAGAAGTCAAAGTAGCCCTTCCATTTACTTATGTTCTCTTTTGGATCAGTCAATATGTGTATATCAAAGACTATATCCATATGAAATACTCAGTAGTGATATTCTGGTGATAGAGCCACTTTAAATATGCATGTCACCTGAAACTAATGGTGAAATAATTAACCTGTTTGCCCTGCTTACTTTTAAAGGACCACTATAGGCACCCAGACCACTTTAGCTCAATTAGGTGATCTGGGTGCCAGGTCCCTCTAGTTTTAACCCTGCAGTTGAAAACATAGAAGTTTCAGAGAAACTGCTATGTTTACACTGCAGGGAATAATCCAGCCTCTAGTGGCTGTCTCACTGACAGCCGCTAAAGGCGCTTCCACAATTCTCACAGTGAGAAGACGCTGGACTGCCATAGGAAAGCATTGAGAAATATGGGCTGTTTCAATGCGCGTGCGACTCTTGCCGCACATTCGGATCTGATGTCGGCAGGGGGTAGAGAGAGCCCGGTGCTGGAGAAAGGTAAGTGGCTCAAGGGGGGCCCTGAGGTTGGGGAGGACCTAATGACCCTATAGTGCCAGGAAAACGAGTTTGAAAAAAAATGTTTTATGCACCTGCTGTTTTAAATTTTGGATTTTTGCTCAGGCACATTTTAGTATAATAGTTGCTTATCATGGAGAAATATCCATAAATAACTGCATAGATGTAATGAAGAATATTTAGATATATTTTCACTTGCAGAGTTAGAGCAATATAGTGAATTTTTACTCTAGAAGAAATTAAATAGTTTTTAATTATATCCGAGAGATTTATATTTGGTTGTAAGGGTTTTTGTATTTGTTTTAAGTAGTAACTAATTTTTTGTTTGTATAACCTATTTAAACATGTTTTTCCTTTCTCTCCATTGTAAACTTCACAATTCAAGGTCTTCTAACTGACATCATTAAGAAATATGGAAGTTTGGTACCGTTGTCTGAAAAGGACGTACTCACTCAATTAAAGGAGGCCTTTAACGAAGACTTTTCGAACAGGTTTGTTTATATGTTGTGACAATCTTTACGTAATCTATAAAAACAACTGAGTGCGTCACCCAAATTTCTTTGTGTGGTACCAGTCCCTCCGCATTCAGCAACAAAATGCACAATAGAAATACGATCCCGAACTCCTCCATATAGTTTACTTTTTTATTTTTTTATTTAGAGGAGCATTTCAACCAATCAGTCTTTGTCAAGCCCAAAGGTTGTTACGGACCAGTGGTTCACATCTATTTTCATGACAAAGGATGTTTTGATCCTTAAAGCCTTTTTTTCCCCCTCTCTTTAAGTGGTAATTTGGATCTTAATCCTTCAGTGTACACATGGGTATAATTCACTGTATTCTAATGGACGCTAAGGCATTTCTTTGATGTAAGTTTATAACTCTTTAAAAAAAAAAACTTTTCTCTAAACCAAAGTGTAAAAAGGAATGAAAAGACAGATCCCCATAATCACAAAAATATGTGAATTGGTGAGAACTGTCTTAAAAAGAGCCTACCTCAGAGCTACAATTTAGGGGGTAACCCAGAAAGAAAAATAGTTGAATGACGGAGACCCTTGAAACAAGGGGATCCCAGAAGTAGCTGCTGAACTTAACAGAATAAATAGTATAGTTACCAGGTGGCAAGTAGAGAAGAACAGGGGGCTGTACTTGTAAGTGGATAAAAGGGTGAAGGGGAATAAATAGAAATACCCATATATACCCTATATAAGCCACTGCTAGTTGTATTTAATAGCAGCAAAAGAATGTCCCTTTGTGCCTTATTGTATTTTTGCAGCTTAGGTGTCCTAATTTTGGACATTTTTTCTAGTATGAATGCTAGTCGTTTTTTTGTTTTGTTTTTTTTTTGTTTTTTTTAACGGGACATTCCTTTGCTGCTATTAAATACAACTAGCAGTGGCTTATATAGGGTATATATGGGTATTTCTATTTATTCCCCTTCACCCTTTTATCCACTTACAAGTACAGCCCCCTGTTCTTCTCTACTTGCCACCTGGTAACTATACTATTTATTCTGTTAAGTTCAGCAGCTACTTCTGGGATCCCCTTGTTTCAAGGGTCTCCGTCATTCAACTATTTTTCTCTAAACCAGTATGGATTTTGGAAATACTCCGTGCCTAGGGTTTCACACATTTGTTGCAGTTACATATAGGAGTGCATTTTTGTTTTAATAGTAAACGTTTTCAGATTTTAATATAATGATAACCTATTTTTTTAATTTATTTTTTTAGAGAAAAGACACCCTAATGTATTTACCTGTGGGGATTTTTACAGGGTGGAGGGGGCTGTTAAACAGAGTATAACATTGCACAACCAATAACAACCCATGCTCAGTTTCTCTCACAGCAGTAGTAGATAGGCTGGATATACAAAAAGGAATGCAGTAGCCAATCCACAAGGTTGAAGGGTGGAGAAAAGGGTTTATGAGGTCATAAAGAAGAGAGAGAATAAAAGAACAAAAGGGTGGGGGGGGGAGAGGATCTTTGAAGGAGGCGTAGCAATTGTGTACTGCCTTTTCAGCCTAACATTACAGGGACACTCCACTGCCCAAATCTAAAATATACATATAATAAGTGTGCATGCATTTAATTATGCATTTTTCTTTAGGGGTATATCTAAACAATAAAAATGCTTGTAAAATGTCCAGTCACAGACTTCCCAATGCAGCTCAGTGAGAAGTCTTTGCAAGGCAGGTGCCCTGGACAATTGCTGCCTCTTATTTTGAAATTAATAGCATTTTGAGGGGTTAATCCTGCCCCACCTCCTTGGCTGAGATCATCATTAATGACGATCTGAGTCAATCTAATGCTTTCCTATGGGAATTCTGATGTCCGCCAAGGAGGCGGATTTGGCGTAAACTCCTTTCTAACCAGAGGGAAGGATGACCAATCTCCTAAATGGTGGTTTTAGAATTATAGTGCCAGGAATAGAATGTTGTGTTCCTGACACATTAGTGCCCCTTTAACAATGAAGTAGTTGGTTTTTATTTTTAAATTATTTATTTTGTTCGTGACAGATAATATTACGCAATTGTTGTGACATTGTGAGGGCTTGCACAGAAGCCAGCATTTGCATATTCAATACAATATTTTGTGTTTACGTTGTTACGGCTTACGCAGGAGCCAATGTTAGCATGGTATTACTGTTTCGGTTTGTGCGCTCTCTGCAATATCATGCACTATCACTTTTTTCAATTTTATAACATCATCATATCGTGTGTTCGTGTCATTGGCCCGTAGTCGCCGTGCGTAGCACGTGCTTATGCGCCATAAGCGTACGATCTTAGTTTACCCTGTAACCTTTGGGGTAGTTAAGTCGATGTCCATTGTTTGCTACATAGGGCAGTACAGTGGTATTTAGAAATAGAGTAGTGGTACGGAGGGGGGTGGGAAGAAAGGGAGGGGGAGATGTAGGACCCGCTGTCTGGAGGAGGCAGGAGTCAGTTGAAGAGGGGTAGCTGCTATCCCCTTGAGGGGGTGTGGAGTTCAGGCTCAGGAGTCAATATAGTCTTCCCACGGTTCCCATACCTTGAGAAAGTGTGTGTATGTGACTTGTACCTGTGCCGTGAGTTTGTCAATGACGAAGGCTTTTTTAATGTTGCATATTACTTTGTCTATGTGTGGAGTGTCTACCTGGAGCCATGTCTGTACCAGGGCACGTCTGGCTGCCAGGATAATTTTGTTTACAAGTTTTTGCTCTCTATTAGGAAGGTTGTCAATCGGTTTGGCTAGTAGGCAAGTCCAGGGGTCAGGCTGTATTGGTTTTTTCAATATTTCTGTCAAGAGTTTATTTATACAAACAAATACAGTATTGTCAGTGAAGCACACTTGTATCAAAGTAAACCAAGAGATTCTCAAACACCTTAGTGAGTACCCTTCGCCCTCACAACAAACAGAATATACATACAATATAAGGTGGAGTGTCTTCTTGTTTACAATAAATGGAGCAATGACCTAGAGATAAGGTAAAACAAAACGCATAATAGTGCAATATTGTCTGGATCCCTTATAAGTATGGAGAAAATATGTGGAAATAAACTCACAAAGCTAGAGCTTATGGGATAAAGCTCAATCATCCAGCATTGTGGGATTTGGGTTCCCACTCCCTTCTTTATACTGCCAGGAGGTGATGGATAATAAGATGTCCTCTCACAGGTAAGTATAAATGATAAATAAGTGCTTTATTAGTAAAGTGCACAAAGATATAAAAAAACAGAAACCTTACAGTTGAAGGTAATCTTGAAGAGATAGTCTCTGGTAGCAAAACACGTTTCGCCTCTTATAGAGGCTTCTCAGTTGCTGTAGATGCTTGCTGTAACTGTCCTTTGTTTATAGTTGAAGTTCGCGCCATTTTTTTTCTTCTTAATTGTCAAATCGCAGCATTTTACTTCCGCGTTCCAACAGTGGAACGCATTAATTCACTAACTTCCGGTTTCGGCATTTGCGTTCCAATGGTGGAACGCATGTGTTGTAATTCCGGTTTTCATATGAAAGAGAATGTCTCTCTGTTCTGTAATGGGTAATTTCTTGATAAAAGTTCGTTTTTGTGTTCCAAATAGTGTTTGCATGAGATAACAACATATACAGAGCCAAAATGGGAGGGAAAAATAAGTGTAAATATACTATACTGATATAGATGGGTAAAGTAGGAGGAAATGATCCTATCACAGGCAAGAAATGTAAAAAATATATATAAAAAATATATAAAATACAATAGGGTAATCTTATATATACACAATTGGGATTACAAAGAAGTATAAGATATATAAAATTGATATGAATAAAAATTAATGATTAAAATCATTAAAAATGCCCCTAAAATTAATTTAAAAAATCCTATATATAAGAAACATATTAAAAATGGCAAACCTCAAAATCTAAATTCAGGCCATAAGGAATAAGTGTTTTAAAGGTGTATATAAATTTCATTTCTTCTTTCCCTAATGTTTTAATGTAATTTCCCCCTCTCCAATCCCGTTTTACTTCTTTAATTGCACAGAAAAATAAATACTCTGGGTTTTGATTATGGGCATCTTTAAAATGTTGTGATACACTGTGGGTTTCCAAACCGTTTTTGATATTGCGAATATGCTCAGCAATTCTCACTTTTAGAGGTCTGATGGTTCTCCCCACATAAAGCAGATTGCAGGGGCATTTTAAAATATATACAATACCCTTAGAATGACACGTCAAATGATCTTTAATAGTATATGGTTTGTGAATAATACTTTCTAAATCTTCAAAATGTCTTTTTGTTTGTTTAGTCACTCTGCATGGGAGACACATACCACAGCCATAGAATCCTTTAAGATCCTGAATAAAATGTTTAGGTTTTGTAGGGTTTAAATGACTTTTAACTAGTATATTTGTAAAAATTTTCGCTCCTCTGTATATAATTCTGGTTTTCGAAGGTAGAATACTGTGTAAAATGGGATCATCTTTTAATAAGTGCCAATGTTTATTTAAAATCTTTTGTATACGCTTATTATATCCATTAAAATTACAGATAAAAGAAACTTCATTAAAATCAGTTCGTACTTTTTTTGGTTTGTATTGGATCAGTTGGCTCCTTTTTTAGTTTTTCTACATCTTGTAAGTCTTGATTCAGAGATATTTCATCATATCCCTTTTCCATAAATTGTTGTTTAATATAATGGGCTTGTTCTAAATAATCACTATCTAATTTACAGTTACGGCGGATCCTTAAAAATTGGCTCCTAGGTGCATTGTGTAACCAGGGTTTGTGGTGACAACTATTGATGTTAATATAACTGTTGGCATCCACTGGTTTAAAATGATTTTTGGTAACTATCATAGCATCTTGGATTCTAATATCAAGATCTAAAAAGTTGATGTTATGTTCACTGTGAGTACTGGTTAAATTGATCCCATAATCATTGTTGTTAAGATATAAAATAAATTCTTGTAGAGCCTCTGTAGTACCGGTCCATATGAAAAAAATGTCATCTATGAAACGGCAATAGGACTCCAAACTCGCCCCCCATGGGTGTCCTTGGAGTACAAACACTTCCTCCCAAAATGCCATAAAAAGATTAGCATAACTTGGGGCGAATTTGGTGCCCATTGCCGTTCCACAGATTTGGAGGTAAAAAGAGTTTTCAAACCAAAAATAATTGTGAGTTAAAATCAATAAAATTCCTTCTAAAATATACTGGGTTTGTTCCTCTTTAAAATCAGCTTTTTCCAAAAAATATTTTACTGCTGCTATTCCTTTATCGTGGGGTATAATGCTATATAGCGCAGTTACATCACAAGTAACCAGTATGTTCCCTTTCGTCCATTTTGTTTCTTCTAAAATTTGTAGAACATGAATCGTATCTTTGAGGTATGTAGGGTTTTTGATAACAATTGGCTGCAAGATGGTATCAATGTACTCGGAAATTCTAGTGGAGATGGAATCTATACCAGATATAATTGGTCTACCTGGAGGATTTGTTATATCTTTATGGATTTTAGGTAATAGATAAAAAAAAACGGTATATTGGGGTTGTCTATCCACAAATAATCTGCCTCTTTATCTGTAAGGATTCCTAAGTTTTTTCCTCTCTCCACATACTGCTTAAATTTTTTTTATAGTTTCATTCGTAGGGTTGTGTGTTAATTTCTGATAGGTTGAGGAGTCTGAGAGTATTCTATCTGCTTCTTTAATGTATAGAGCTTTATCTAAGATTACCGTCCCTCCTCCCTTATCGGCAGGTTTAATCACTAATTGATCATCATTTTTAAGTTCCTTCAGTGCCTTTTTTCCCTTTATTGATAAATTTTGTTTATATTTATTAGTTTTTTTAAAAACCTCTACATCCTTCATCACCATTGTTTCAAAGGTCTGAATTGCATTTGAAATCAGGTGTCTTTGGAAGAAGTGGGATTTAGCTTTAAGGGATGTATGGACATATCCATCATTTTGTTCTTCGGGCAGGTTGTTTTCTTTATTATGAAAAAAAATTTTTAAACATAATTTTCTTTTAAATAAATTCATATCAACAAAAAATTCAAAAGGGTTAAAATCAGCTGTAGGGGCAAATTTAAGACCTTTATTAAAAAAAAAATTTCTGTTCTGAAGTAAGAGTTTTATCTGTTAATTAAAAATTCCCTCTAAATTGACATCTTGCCCCTCTTCTCTCTGTGTTGTTTTCCTCTTTCTTCACTGTCTCCTTCTTCTTCCAATGATCCTTGTCTTTTCCCCTGTGTTTCCCACGATTGGTTGTTGTCTGTCCTTTTTCTTCTGTTTTGTATTAAATCCTTCCAAAAAAAAAAAGGTGATGGCGGGGTGTCTGGAGGGGATGATATATCAATATTCTTTTTTCTTTGTTCTCTATATGGTGGACTTAATTTATCATGGGATTGATAAGGGGACTCTTTATTGGGATGTTTTGGTTCTTTCTTTTGGATTCCTTCTTTTACTACATCGCTATATTTTCTGAAATCCTTATTGTTGGTGATAGTGTTAGTAAGTTCGTAATTGGTGCGTGGGTGTCTCCTATGTATCGGTGTGCGATTGTGTCCTATTTGGGGTTCAGTAACCTTGTTGTAATGAGTTCTTTTATGTGGCTGCCATCTATTTTGTTCTCTATTTGGATATTTCTCTTTATTTGTATATGGTGATTTCTTGCTTTTTTCCCATTTTGTGTTCCTATCACCTCTCTCTAATTGATGTTGGGTGATGAATGGGCGTTGAGAGTAGGTGCTCCTAACATATTGGTGTTTTTGAAACTGGGTATTTTAGCGTGTATTATTCTTTTTGTTATCCCTTACATTGCCGGTCTCGTAATCAGTTATATCTCTTAGATATTTTTTCTTTTTAATTTCTATAGTATCCAATTCAATTTTATCTACTTTGGATTGGATTTCTTTTAAGATGGTATTGTAAATTTCTGGACTTGTAGATTCTGCCAGAGAATCTTTCCATTTGTTTATTTCTTCGTCAAGTTTAGGGAGGGTTTCTTCTCTTCTTGCCACAATGTAACCCATTGTGCTGAATGAGAAACAGTCTAGAAGTTTGTCCCAACCAGCCATAAAATGGGGATCTTCCCTGTCAAAACTTGGGTCCTTATAGAACCTTAGTCCTCTGGGAGTAATCTGGTCTCGAACATATTTTTTAAGGGTTGCAATTTCCCATTTTACCTTCATCTCTTTTATAAGGCTTTTCTCTAGGTTATATCTAGATTTATTGTTATCACTATATTGTGGAACAGGGTTTTGTCCTGTAATTGTTTCAAAACAGGCATCAATATTATTTGTACGATATTCTCTATTAACCAAGAAAGACATAGTGTGATAATTACTAAAAATACTGAGAAGGGAATTGTATATAAAATATACAGTATGATACAAAAATACAAACAAATACAGTATTGTCAGTGAAGCACACTTGTCAAGAAATTACCCATTACAGAACAGAGACACATTCTCTTTCATATGAAAACCGGAATTACAACACATGCGTTCCACCGTTGGAACGCAAATGCCGAAACCGGAAGTTAGTGAATTAATGCGTTCCACTGTTGGAACGTGGAAGTAAAATGCAGCGATTTGACAATTAAGGAGAAAAAAAACGTCGTGAACTTCAACTATAAACAAAGGACAGTTACAGCAAGCACCTACAGCAACTGAGGAAGCCTCTATAAGAGGCGAAACGCGTTTTGCTACCAGAGACTATCTCTTCAAGATTACCTTCAACTGTAAGGTTTCTGTTTTTTTATATTTTTGTGCACTTTACTAATAAAGCACTTATTTATCATTTATACTTACCTGTGAGAGGACATCTTATTATCCATCACCTCCTGGCAGTATAAAGAAGGGAGTGGGAACCCAAATCCCACAATGCTGGATGATTGAGCTTTATCCCATAAGCTCTAGCTTTGTGAGTTTATTTCCACATATTTTCTCCATACTTATAAGGGATCCAGACAATATTGCACTATTATGCGTTTTGTTTTACCTTATCTCTAGGTCATTGCTCCATTTATTGTAAACAAGAAGACACTCCACCTTATATTGTATGTATAAAGAGTTTATTTATGTTTTCCCAGTATTGGGAAACTTTCGGGCAAGTCCACCACATGTGGAAGTAGGTACCCTTGCCCCCACAGCCTCTCCAGCACAGATCTGAGGGTGTTTTACCCATTCTGTGTAATTTGACGGGGGTGGTGTACCACCTCATCAGCGTTTCGTAACACTGTTCTTGGTGAATGACGCATATTGAGGACTTGGTAGCTGCTTCCCATATGTCTTGCCAATCCCCACTATCTAGGGTTTGTTGGAGTTCAGCTTCCCACTGCAATATGCTAGAGGGTGTTTGGGATTCTTTTGTGGGTGCACTTAGTTGCTCATATAAACGAGTGATGAGGCTGGCACGTGGTCCATCGGACATACATAATGTTTCATAAAACGTGGGCTTTACTTCAGCCGCTGCTGCTATGTTGGGTTTCTTAGCAAATCTCAAAGTTGGATCTATCGAAAGTAGTCTTTGTTGGTTAGAGGGGCCCTGGTTTTTAGGTTATCAAAGGTGTGAAATGTACCATCCTGAAATAGGTGGCAGTAGCGTTGTGCTCCCGTGTTCTCAAGGCCTCGGAAGTCCACAGGGGTCATGCCTGGGGGGGAAAGGCTTTGTTTCGGAGGTAAGGTGTCAGTGGTGAGATAGGGGGTGTGTGTGAGAGGATATTTGTGTGCTGTAGCATTCCAGATCCGAATTGAGTTTAGGATGGCAGGGCAGGAGGTATGTAGCTCTGGGCGGTCGGGTCTCGGAACCCATATCCAGTACTGGGGTAGGTCGGTGCTCATAAGGTGTGTTTCTAGGTTAACCCATCTGTGTGTGTCTGGTGGTGAGTGCCATTCTATGATTTTTGCTAGGTGAGCTGCCAGGTAGTAGAGGTATAGGTTCGGGAGCCTTAGACCCCCCTGGTCATTTTCTTCTTGCACTTATCCCACAGGGGAAGTGATAGGGTGGTCGTGGGCAGCATGGTGGTGTACTTTTGGTCTTTGTGATTTTGGTTGCCAAGCCAGTGTCAATAAAGAGTTGCCGTCTGAGTGGCTTTTCTCTAGGTTGAGCCATGTTGCTTGTTCTCGTTGGTGGGGAATGGCCAGTAGTGGTGCTATGTGGGCCGCTCGGTAGTATCCTGCTACGTCTGGCATGCCCATTCCTCCTTTGTTGAACTGCTTGTACATGGTATCCTTCGCAACCCGTGTTTTTTTTTTATTTTCCCATACATAGTTGTTGAGCAGATTTTGGAGGTCATGCAGGTATGTCTTCGGGAGTTTGATTGGGAGTGTTCGAAGTAAGTATTGAATTTTGGGTAGGATTATCATTTTTATTGATGCTATTTGTCCCGCCCATGAGATGTACTTTCCCCCCCAGTCTTGCAATATATTTTGGATTTCGCCTCTAAGTTTAATGTAGTTTGCTTTGTATAGCTTGGAGGGTGTGGGTGTGAAGTTTATGCCCAGGAATTTTTTGCCATCTTGCCTCCAGTCGTAGTTGAAGTTGGCTTGTAGGTGTTGCATGTCCTGTGCACAGATGTTAACTCCTGTTGCGAGAGTTTTTGTTATATTCAGTTTGTAGTAGGAGCAGTGGCTGTATTGGGTGAGAATTTTATGGAAGTTTGGGAGGGATATGTGTGGGTGTTCTAAAGTGAGGAGGATGTCGTCCGCGAATAGTGACATTTTATATTCCTGTCACTTGGTCCAAACTCCGTGGATGTTTGGGTCCTCCCGTATTCGTTGGATCATTGTTTCCAATGCCAGTATATAAAGCAGCGGGGAGAGTGGGCATCCCTGTCTGGAGCCATTGGATATTGAGAGGGGTTTGGAGATGAATCCCCCGTTCACTACTTTTGCAGTCGGGGAGGAGTAGAGTGCTGTAATTAATGTCAGGAACCCGGGTGGGAACTCGAACTTCCAGAGGACTGCCATTAGAAAGTGCCAATTTTAGCCTATCGAAGGCTTTTTCTGCATCTAACGACAACACGATCCTCGGAATTTTCTCCTTCTTTATTTCATATAGAAGGTTCAGTATTTTGCATGTGCCGTCTGCTCCTTGTCTGCCGCCCACGAAACCTACCTGGTCTTCTTTGATAAGTGTTGGGATAACTTGTGCTAACCTGTTGGAAAAGATTTTGGCTAAGAGTTTGACGTCTGTGTTTAGTAGAGATATGGGTCTGAGATTCTGGCTTTTGTTGAGTGGTTTGCCCGGTTTAGGGAGGGTGGCCACATGTGCCATCAGCATTTCTGTGTCTATGGTTCTGGATGTGAGGATTTGGGTATATAGTTTTTGTAGGTGTGGGGCTAGGATTGTTGCGAATTTTTTATAGTAAAGGTTAGTCAAGCCATCTGGGCCTGGTGATTTCCCCGGCAGGAGTGCTTGAATCGAATCCTTTATTTCTTGTATCGTGACGGGGTTTTGTATTGTTTGTTTGTGGGTGGCCGATATCTTGGGTAGCGTGGTCGTTTGGAGGAAGTCATCAATTTCTTGTTTCGTGGGTTGTTATACTTTAGGATCATTCCTTAGATTATAAAGTTTATGGTAGTAGTCAGCCTTCTCATCACTGATATCATGAGGATTGTGGATTTTGTCACCTGTTTGAGAGATCAAGTATGGGATTTTGGAGTTGGCTTGTTTTTGCTTTAACATTGTCGCCAGATGTTTCCCAGCTTTGTTGCCTTGAGCGTATGTTTTCAGCTTTAATTTAGTTAGCATGTAGGCTGTTTTATTTAGGGTTAGGTCGTTAATCTTTTTAGTAGTTTCTGCAATGCTTTTGGCTAGTTGTTCTGAGGGATGCAGAACGTGCGCGTTTGTCAACTCTCGCAGGTGTCTCAGGAGGTCTGTGTTCTTTTTCCTGCTTCCTCTTAAGGTAGGATGCGCGGCTTATGAGTACTCCCCTCATGACTGTTTTGTGGGCTTGCCAGATGGACGCGGCTGAGACTTCTTTGGAATCCTTGAGCTCAAAGTATTCTTGTAGGGTTTGTGTGAGCTGGTTTGTAAACTTTGTGTCATTTAGTAGTGAATCATTTAAGCGCCACGGGGGTTTTCCTCGGTGTTGGTAGTGGTTTTGCATGGTTAGGGTGATTGGCTCATGTTCCGACCATACAATATTACCTATAGTACATTTCTTGATCTGTGGAAGAAGTGTGCCTGACACCAGGATGTAGTCTATTCTGGAGTAGGTTTGGTGGACTTGTGAGTGGAATGTATATTCTTTTGTCGTTGGATGTATTGTCCTCCAGACATCGTATAGGCCCTGAGTGTGTATTAGTTTTGTGAATGCCTTGTTGCGCTGTTTGAGCGTGTGGTGTCTGTTAGACGTGGCAGGAATTGTTGTGTCTAGTCGAGAGTCCATTGTGTGGTTGAAGTCCCCGCAAATCAATATAGGGGCATTTGTGTTGTTTGGTATTTTACTGAGTACTTTGTGCAGGAAGTTGCGTTGTTGGTCATTTGGGCTGTAAATGCCTACAAGCATTATGGGAATATTATTTATTAGGCAGTGTAGGATTACGAATCGCCCTTGGCTATCTTTTTTTCGATTGGAGCTGTTCTACTGTTAGGGAGTTGTGGAACAGGAGGGATACCCCTCTGGATTTTGGTGTGTGTGTGGCGTGAAATTGAAGCGGGTAGTCTTTTGTGGCGAATGCAGGAGTCCTATTTGTTACAAAGTGGGTTTCCTGAATGCAGACAATGTCTGCTTTGTTTCGTTTTAGGTCCTCTAGTAGTACCCGTCTTTTGTGTGGCGTGTTCAGCCCTTTAACATTGTGTGAGTATAATTTTATTTATGATGATGTATTGCTGTGGTGGACAGAGTGTGCTGGGTGTGTTGTGGTGGGGTGCGTGTAGGTAAGGTCTGTGGGGGGGAGGTGGGTAAGTTGAGGGTGTGGGTGGTAGGGTGAGATACCTTGGTCCGGTGCAGTTCTCACCGTGGGGTTGAAAGTACGGAACTTCCAAACAGGTGGATGTTTGGACTCCTTCGTTAATAAAGTTGGTAACTTAAGCAGAGGTGTATTTGTCAGTATGAACATGTAACATAATACATTCATTCAGTTATACAGTTTAGACGTTTCTTCTGCTGTTAGATTAGGGTTAGGGGGTAGGTAAACAACCCCGCAGGGCCCCGGTTTTTATGTTAGGGCTGTTGTTCAATTAGCGGTATCTGGTATGAATCACATGCCATTTAGAATAGCTGGGCTAGTTCCCATGCGCGTGTCAATAATGTCTAGACCTTTGTTTAATTAATTGACAGTCCATAAACAGCGGTCTAATGTCGACAATTGTTCTCTAGATCGGGAGTAATACTTGCGACTTTGCGCCATATGGCATGCAATCGCTATGGTATTTGCAGCTTATATAGTTCCCATTGTGCATAATAATAACAGCTAGACCTTGGTGAGATTAGATAAACGGTCAACTAACAGTGGCCCAATGACAACATTTATACCCTGTCTCTGGATTGATACTCGCAGTGTTTACGCCGTATGGCATGCATCTTTATGGTTGTTCCACAGGGTGTTTGCGGTTTGTATAGTTCCCATTTGTGTATTAATAGCAGTTAGATTTAGTGTGATGAGATCAATGGTCAATTAACAGTGACCCAATGTCATCAATTTTCCCTGTCTCGGGATTAATACTTGCGGCGTTTACGCCATATGACATGCAGTCTCTATTGTGTTCCCCAGAGTATTTGTGACTCAAATAGTTCCTATTTGTATATTAATCACAGCTAGACTTAGTATAACTAATTTAACGGTCAATTAACAGTGACCCAATGTCAACAATTTAAAAAAAAATTTCCCTGTCTCGGGATTAATACTTGCAGCTTGTGCGCCGAGTGGCATGCAGTCTCTACTGTTGGTTTGCAGGGTGTTTGCGGCTTTGTTTGGGAGCGGGTTGCGCCTCTTTCACTGTCGAGTTGAGTAGGCCACATTCCTTCAATTTTCTCAAGCCTTCCTCCGGGGTAGAGATGGTTTTGGTTTCTCCATTTTTTTTTGTAATAATAAGCTTTGTAGGGAAGCCCCACCTGTAGCGGATACTCTTGGTTCTCAGCTCCGCCGTGGTTGCTTGGAATTCCTTCCTTCTCCTTAGGGTCGTGGCAGAGAGGTCTGCCATGATGCGTACTTCTGGGTAGTTCTCATGGGGGTCTTGTTTGTTGTGGTACGTTTTGAGGATGAGTTCCTTAATGTGAAAATAATGCGCTCTGAGGAGTACGTCATGGGGTGCAGAGTCAGACAGGTGTCTGGGCTTTGGGACCCGGTGCAGCCTATCTATTAGGAGCATGTCCGCCAGGATATCTGGCGCATAGGTGTGTAGTAGGCCTCTTACTTACACTGGTAAGTCATCTGGAAGTACAGACTCAGGGACCCCGCAGAGCCGTAAGTTATTTCGACGTTCCCTGTCCTCTGAGTCCGTCATGCGTGTTTCCAAGTTCTCCAATTGTTGATATAGCGTCTGTAGCTGGGTGGTCGTTTCGGCCTGGACTGAGTCCAGATCCTGGCATCGCTGTTTGATGGAGGACGTCCTGCCGGAGAGGTCTCTCATCTCTCTCCTGATTTGGTCTGCCGTTGATTTCCAGGTCTGTATTAATCTCGCTGACATATTTTCGATTTAGAGGGGGCACCCTTGGCGGGTACAGTTTTTCAGTTCAAAAGGAACCGGCTGTGACCTTGGGATTAGCATTTGCGCTCTTGAGGCAGTGTATAGAGCTTGGGTCGCCCTTATGAACATGGCGGGAAGGTGCATTTCCTCGAGGAGAGCAAACATGTAGGGCCATTGAATTCTATTGAAGGCCTTCTCTGCGTCCAGAGAGAGGACCAGAAAAGGTGTTCGCTTCTTGTTAGCCCACCATATTAAGTCCACTGCTCGTCTCGTGTTTCCGTGGAGTTGTCTGTTAGGGACGAAACCCACTTGATCTGCATGGACAAGTTTAGGGAGGATGAGATTGAGTCTAGTGGCCAGGATCTTTGCATACACTTTAAGGTCAAAATTGATGAGGGAGATGGGGCGATAGTTTGCCACATTAGTGTTATCTCTGTCAGGTTTTGGGATTAGAACTACGTCTGCTGTGGAGAGGTCAACGTTAGGTTAGTCATTGTCCGTCCAGGTTTTGTACATGGTGGCAAGGTGGGGGATCAATTGTTCTCTGAAGGTTTTGTAGTAGGAGCCGTCAAACCCATCTGGGGCTTTTCCCCATTTAAGGTCCGTGATGGCTCTATTTCATCGTTTTCTAGTGCGGTTGTGTGTGCTGGGAGTCGCGGCAGTTTAGCTTTCCGCAAGAAATCCGCAATTTGTTCCATGTGTGTTCTCTTTGCTGTCGTAAGTGTCGGGGAGTGGTTGTACACTTGGGTATAAAATTTAGTGAATTCATCGTTTATGTCCTTAGGACTGTTAAGAATTCGCCCCTGTGTGTCTTTGATGGTGGTGATGTTGGAGTCTGTGCGTTTAGGTCTGAGGGCCCGAGCTAGCAGTGTATCCATTTTATTGGATTTTTCGTAAAAGAAACGTTTGGTGCGATCATATCTCTGCTTACGTCGTCTAACATGAGCTCTCTAAGTTGTCGCCTAATGTCTGTCAGTTCACTAGTTGTGCGTGGGGTGGCCCTTTGTTTATTTTGCATTTCGGTCTTACGCAATAGCCTCTGTAGCTCTAATAGCTTTTCAAGGTTTTTCTTTTTTAAGTGTGTTGTTGTTGTTTTAATGAGCAGTCCCCTAATCACAGGTTTATGGGCCGCCCATAGTGTAGTGGGAGATACGTCCGGGGTGTCATTTTCTTGAAAGTAACGTGTGATCTCGGTCTGGATTGCCTCCTTTGTATGGGGTTTTCTGAGTAATGAGTCTCCATTTCCATGGGGCGTGTGGGCCTGGTAGTTTGAGGGTTATGGCGATGTCCATGGTCGGACCATGAAATGAGGTTCAGGTCAGATGTTTTGATCCATGACATGGCCAGCAGGTTGACAAGGAAAATGTCTATGCGGGAATAGGTAGCATGTACTGACGAATAAAAACTGTAGTCCCGTACGCTCGGGTGTTGGATCCTCCATGGGTCCAGTAGGCCCGTGTGGGTGAGGAAGGTGCTCAGGAGTTTGTCCTCCTTTATTCTGGTACCTGGGTAGGCGAAGGCCTCCACCCCTGTCTATCGCCGGGCATGGTGTGGCATTTAGGTCTCACCCTAATAGCAAAATTCCCCTGGGAAGGCCTAGGATCAGTGTTTCTAGTTCAGTCCAGAATTCCCCACAGGGAGCATTGGGTACTCATGTGGTACGTACTAGAGTGAAGCGTGCCCGTCAGGACCACGTACAGGCCTTCTCTGTCTTCATAGGTTTTGGTTATAGTGAGCGGGCAATTTTTATGGATAATTAATTCGACCCCATTCCTCTTACACAGTACCCGTGAGGCATACGCCCTAGTGTACACATGGTTTGTGAGTTGTGTCCCTGAGGTGTGTGATAGGTGGGTTTCCTGAATATATGCGATGTCCGTTTTCTGTCGTCTGAGTTCGCGGAAAAGGAGCCTATGTTTGTTTGGGCTGTTAAGCCCGTTTACGTTAAGAGACGTCAGTTTGAGGTCCATTCTGTGAGGTGGTGTTGTGTTATAGAGTACCTGGTTATGTGGGTGCGGCTCGTCCGCGCTTGTGTCTCGTAGGGTTTGGGTGGTAGTGTTGTCTCCAGCAGCAGGTCCAGTAGGGGCGTGTGGGGGTGGGGAAGAAGAGTAGGAAAAGTCGGCCGTATAGGTTATTTGGCCGAAACTAGTAGCAACAAACAAGAGAAACAAAAAGAATACGTTAGTATTTCGTGTGTATTACAGCGCTGATACCAGCTGAACAAGGATTCGCTGTCGTATTGTAAGTAGTACAAGCTATAATAGTGTACAGAAGAACAATTTTTAAAACTCTGTTGTACAAGTGCGGTTATTTATACGTAACGTTATAACAAAAAAACAATACACAAGTCTGTTCCGGGTCTTATTCAATGCCAGGAGCTCTGGGGGTGGGCCACCTCCGTGTCGAAGGGTTCTCCTCAAACGGGGGAGGAAACACAACCGAAGAGCACCCCGACAACGCTCAAGTGGAGTGAAAAATATAAACCCCAACCTTTAGAGCCCATTCAGCGAGGGGGGGGGGGTCCACACTGCACTATGGCAGTGTATAAGACCGCCCTCGTGTGTGGAGGGCCCTGGTAGGTTGTGTTAAGTTGCCCTATCTGCACAATGGGGTTTGGGCGGCCATGTAGTAGCGTGAGGCCGCACCAGGGCCTATGTGACCAGTGTGCGGTCTCACAGAAAAAGATGTCGCTGTTGCTGCCAGGGAAGCCGCGTGTTTTATGGTGCCGTGGGGGCGTCCGGTTTTCATGCCCACATCAGGGGCATCGCCGCACCTCCCTTAGGCCGTGGGGCAGGTTATACATTCAAGACACTGTTAAAGTATGGCAGTCCCTCACCATTGGCCCGTTTCCCGCCCTTTTGGGATTCCCTGGGTTTCCCGCCGCACTGGCCATATCAGGCTTGGCCGTACGGTTGTCTGCAGTGTTTGCATCTGCGTTTTTTTCCCTCCCACCCCAGAGCGTCCCAATAAACACAATACCTCTCCATCCTCCCCGCCACCCCCATCCAACAGCAATCTATGCTATATTTTCATCACCCTTTCTAATGCTATCAGTGAACATATTATCAGTGACCATATTAAAGTGAAAACAATGCACTATGATGCTTATATAGCGTCAAAGCGTTCAAGAGCCAGCAAGGGACTGCGTGTGGTCTGTGTCGGAGTTCTCGTGTGTTCACTGTCCCAGAGTCAGTCCCGCTGGAGATCTTGTGCTTCAGCGTTCTCAGCTAGCATGTCAAGTGTCCCTGCTTGGGAATGTGGGGTTTGGAAGTCCGCCTCCAGGTCCAAGTCTATAAGAAATGTGGGTATGTCCGTCGACGGGGCCTTTAAAGACCAGTATCTTGAACGGGTATCCCCAAGCAAAGCGCAATCCGTTGTTTCTCAACAAATCTGTGACCGGCTTCCACTCCTTTCTCCGAAGGAGTGTGACCGGTGCCACGTCTTGGTATATTTGGAGGCTAGTCCCTTCATGGTCGTAGGCAGTCATCCTGCTGTGGCGCATTATGGCCTCCTTGGTCTTGTAATAGTGCCACTTCATAATTACATCGCGCGGGGGGCTATTCTTCGGCCCTCTGGCCCGCAGGGCTCAATGTACCCTGTCCACCATCCAAAGATGGTCTGGGAGGCTCTGCTTAAAACAGGTGACTAGAGTCTCTTCAAGGTCCGCTTCCCCAACCGATACCGGCAGGCCGCGAATGCGCAGGTTATTTCTCCTTGAGCGGTTGGAGATATCCTCGAGCTCCAATTACAGATCTGTAACCCTTGTGAGGAGTGTGTTTGTGAGGTTTACTGCTCGATTGTGAGCCTGCACCACATTGCCCATTTGTAGCTCGAGCCCCTATGGTGGCAATTTCCGCTTTGACTTCCTTGGCTGATCTCTTGATTTCTTCGGCCAAGTAGCCTTTGACATCCGCATGTGATTGCAGGGTAGTGCTGGAAGATGCCTCCGGTGGGGAGTCTTGTGTCCGTGGGGTGAGTTGTGCTAGGACTCGTGTCCGTGGGCGCACCACGTGCTGCCGGCCTCTGTGCTGCAAACATGTCCACCACTGACGGAGCTTCGTTGGTGCCTCTTTTCTTGGGTGGTCTGCGGCTTGACATCCGGCTGCAGTAATGGGGTGATCGGGGCAAAGTTGGGGCTGTACCTGATTAAAGTGCTTTAATGAGCGCCGGGGTGCGGAGCACTCGCTCTATGCGCCCATCTTCATTGGCGTCCAAACCCCGATCCCCGTTTTTCTTTTCAAATAAATTGCTTACCATGTATACTAGTTTAAGTCGAGTGCAGTTTTTTGACCAACAATTGTGAACTAGAAAAGCTACAATTTCTGGGGAAATTGTGTGAAGTGTTCTTGCCTCCACCAGTAGTCTACAACTGGAGTGGGCGACGTAACTGTTATCATTTATATAACACATTTAATTGCAACGTTGTTGCACAGTTACATTAAACCATACATTTATAAAAACATTAGCAGGTGTTCAAAAGGCCCTGTCTATGACATCACTTGCTGCTGCAGCCTGGCACAGGTCAGAGTATTTTGGCAGTTGCCATCTTCAAACGGGATTTTAAAAACTATAAATCCTACAATGAAGAGCTTTATATTGCGAGAATCACAAGACCCAGACCTACATTTTGATGCATAGTATGTCTCTGAATTATTAAAAATGAAGGCACAGTCGCAGTTTAGAAATTGCCCTTCAAGTTTGAGCTGGCTTGAGTGAAGTTTCAATGAATGTCAATGGAAGGCGTGAGTTGCAAACAAATGATCATATTGTGAAATCTATCAGGACTATGGCTTAGCTGTGGACATTTCTAGTGGCAGCAGGGATAGCTGAGCGTTTTGATATAAGATTTGTGTAGGTGGGCCCGAAAATAAGGGAGTGGTGGCAGTTTAGAAATCATGTCCTGATTTTTCAGCTTTTGGCAGCTCCCACTCTAGCTTTGCCATTCATTCCTATGGGACAAATTGCGCCACAAAAACGACGATATTCCGTGAACCATTCGGCGAAACGTTCCACAAAGTAATAGCAATCCGATCGGGAACAATCTGCACGCTTTGGTAAATTTTTGTCTATGTAGTGTAAAAACTGTGGGAGGAGTTAGGGTGGCAAATTTGGCTATAATAAGAATAATATATATGTGAGATAACAATAAGTGTTCTTGCAAGAACACTTAATAATAATATATATGTGAGATAACATTAAGTGGTCTTGCTATGCAAGAACACTTAATGTTATCTCACATATATATTATTATTATTATTAAGTGTTCTTGCATAGCAAGACCACTTAATGTTATCTCACATATATATTATTATTATTATTATTAAGTGGTCTTGCTATGCAAGAACACTTAATAATATATATGTGCGATAACATTAAGTGGTCTTGCTATGCCAAGAGGCTATTTTTATAAAGAGGGGAGGAGTAGGGATCACTCACAATATGAGTAGACAATAAAGCTGAAGGAGTGCACATAAGCAAGATTACTTATGCTGTTTGTCAGCATTTCCTGACATGCATTCACTCTGTGAGAATAGCTGCAGGTGGAGGAAGTGCCAGTAAATATCTGATCCAGACCTCCCTCTGGTCAGTATAACGGAACGGTTAACCAGAAAATGCAGTATCCATGCTTGCATGCAGTAATCTAAAAAAAAAAAAAAGGTTTTGTGATTTGTCCTGGCACTACATGCATTAAAAAAAAATAATTTCAAAGGCTCACTTACATGTATTTCTCCTTACCTTTCTCATTATAAATTAAATGTCGGGTTTATTTCAAATGCTGCTAGAGAGAAGCATTCTTCTAGACAAATTGTTATATTAAAAATATATACAAAGTGGGAATTTAGTATTAGTGCTAACAGAAAAATATAAGGACTGATTTTCAACCTTTCCAGCCCTCAAGTTATTTTGTTTATAACATACTTTGAGAACTTTATGGGCATGAATTTAACACCACAAATTAGAACCACTGATATATAGACTATTAGAACAACAGTTTTTGCACCATAACAGCTTCATCAAAATGAATGCTGGCTCACTTCAAGGGTTCTCAAACTGGTTAAAGGGACACTATAGACACCCAGACCACTGCATCTCATTAAAGTGGTCTGGGTACAATGTCCCTTAACCCTACAGTGGTAATTATTGCAGTTTCTGGGGAAACTGCAATAATTAGCTCTCAGGTTTAACACCACTTCTAGTTACTTCCAGATGTTTAGACGACTTTTGATCATCTAAATGACGCTGGACATTCCCACGCTCTGCATGAGGACTTCCAGCGTAACCAGAATCCCCATAGGAAAGCGTTGATTAATGCGGGGGCGATTGATTATATCACTTTATGTGCATTTGTTAAACTGTTGTTACATTCTAATTCTACATTATAAGGATGTTTTTAGCACCATTCAATGCACTCTGGTGTTTTGTTTTAATTAAAGGACCACTATAGTGCCAGGAAAACATACTCGTTTTCCTGGCACTATAGTGCCCTGAGGGTGCCCCCACCCTCAGGGACCCCCTCCAGCCGGGCTCTGGGAGGAGGAAGGGGTTAAACTTACCACTTTCTCCAGCGCCGAGCGGGGAGCTCTCCTCCTCCTCCTCCTCTCCTCCCTCTTCTTCCGTCACCGGCTGAATGCGCATGTGCAGCAAGAGCCGCGCGCGCATTCATCCAGTCCATAGGAAAGCATTCACAATGCTTTCCTATGGACGCTGGTGTCTTCTCACTGTGAAAATCACAGTGAGAAGCGCGGAAGCCCTCTAGCGGCTGTCAATGAGACTGCCACTAGAGGCTGGATTAAAGGACCACTATAGTGCCCTGAGGGTGCCCCCACCCTCAGGATCCCCCTCCCGCCCGGCTCTGGAAGGGGGAAAGGGGTAAAAACTTACCTTTTTCCAGCGCTGGGCGGGGAGCTCTCTGCCTCCGATCCTCCTTCTCTCCTCCCCATCGGCTGAATGCACACGCGCGGCAAGAGCTGCGCACGCATTCAGCCGGTCACATAGGAAAGCATTATCAATGCTTTCCTATGGACGCTGGCGTGCTCTCACTGTGAAAATCACAGTGAGAAGCACGCAAGCGCCTCTAGCGGCTGTCAATGAGACAGCCGCTAGAGCGAATGGGGGAAGGCTTAACCCATTCATAAACGTAGCAGTTTCTCTGAAACTGCTATGTTTATAAAAAAAAAGAAAAGGGGGGTTAACCCTAGCTGGACCAGGCACCCAGACCACTTCATTAAGCTGAAGTGGTCTGGGTGCCTAGAGTGGTCCTTTAACCCTATTATAAACGTAGCAGTTTCTCTGAAACTGCTATGTTTATAAAAAAAATTTTAAAAAAAGGGGGGGGGGTTAAACCTAGCTGGACCTGGCACCCAGACCACTTCATTAAGCTGTAGTGGTCCTTTAAAAGTATCTTTTTTTTAAAGTCAACATTGTGTATTTTTCTTGAAATACTCATAAGAAACTATATATTTTTCTTTCCTTCTTGTTTTTTGTTTATGTACTGGTTTATTTTATTCCCATCTGCAACCTTTCTTTTGAATCTCTCTGTATTTCTGCACTTATAGTATTGGACAACTATCCACCAGTGTCTATGTACATTCAGAGCTTTTTGTGTTCATCTGGCACTTGGCCCTTTTTTACAATTGCAAATAGATCCAAAATTATCCATTAATTACCACTGACCTCTTTCCTCCTTCCCAATACCTTAACCCTATTTTAATAATTTTTCCACTGCTTAATTTCCTCCTCCTTCACTAACACTTGATTTAAAGAAAGAACGTAGCTTACAAATTAAACAAAGTGTAGTGGATGTGGTACTCAGTGTCACTTTTATTCTATTTGTTTATAATATTTCCATTTTTAATCTGTTTTCTTCCTTATTTATCTACTGCCCTGTCATGCAGATGTATTTTCAATTCTCTTATGTCAGTAATGTTCCCTGTCTTATTGATACCAGCCATCCTATTACCCTCAGCATATGTTCATTTGTTACACTCTCAGACCAGCTGTACTCAGTGTGGATGTGGTCATCTGAGTTATTAACCTATTCCTCTTACTTATGGGTAGCCATTCAGATTGAGCCAGTCTTCATTATAGTGTTTGTCAATGTGAAAGAATACTGCATTTACACTGTCTCTTCTGAAATAATAAATTCAAGTTTGGACAATCCCATGAAAGATTATGCTATTATATTCTAAATCCCTCTGCTGTTTTCATTTTGAATGGGTCTAAAAATCCTTTTGCTTAGGCCACCCAAAAAAATGTTTTTTCAAAAAGTGAAATTAATTTAGAATAGCAACATTCTTGTCCTCTCCATAAAGCTTTTGATACTCATATTGGCTTTTGACCTTTGTGGAACAATACATTTTCCTTTTCATTATATTCTAGGTATGTATAGTCGGTAAAATTTTGCTAAATACCCTCTCTGAGGAGGAGGTTGCCTGACATGCTCTTTAGCTTATTCAAGCAATGATTCATTTTCATATCTCGTACTTATTACGCAGGACATCCTTCATCAGCAAGGAGATAATGAAGTACCGGGCCAAACATTCCAAAGCTACTGTGTGCAATTTCCGAGTCTTCTATAATAAGCACATGCTTGATATGGATGACCTTGCTACCCTAGATGGACAAAACTGGCTCAATGATCAGGTAACAACAAAATTTAAAACTTTAGAGTTTCTGGTGTAGCAATCTCTTCTGATATATTTTTATTCCCTTTTCGGTACACCAGACAACAGCATATCATGTAAACCAACAAAGACTCTGGTAAATTTATAAATCTAAAACTTTTTTGCATGTGGTGTTTTGTTTTATTTTTGTTTTTTTTTTCTTCTGTTAGAAGTCCAACAACTGAAATAGTTATTGGTATTGATTCGGAAGATAATCTACTGATTTAATTAAAACAAATGGAACCAACCTATTTTTTTCCAAATACCTGGAACTTATTGTACCGGAAAAAATATTTTTATGCTAACCTGTGTTCATTTTTACAAAACCAATTACCAGGCCGCAAAGTAATGCAAAAATGCCCATGTAATTGATGCGCACGGAACAGGTGCTCGTGAAATATTTACATGCACATTCATTTTAATTTTTTATTTTCTTCTGTCATGTATCTAAAATGTATCCTAATTTATTCCTCTTATGTTAATTCCTGTCCTGGTTTCACATTATAATTGTTGTATAAGTCCAACTCTGTGTTTGGTAAATCATATCCTTACCTGGTGCATTAATGAAAGACAGTGGACATTGATCTGGTCATACCTGTTTTGACAAATGTGCCAAACCTGCAGTGAATGTTTCCAGATTCTGATATTTCTGATCATGTAGAAGCTCTAAACCTTGTTGATACAACCAACTTCATTGGAATGGACCGTGTCTTCTTCATATCCCAATTCCTTCTAGGAGTTTACATTTTTATTTGTCTCTTTCAGGTTATTAACATGTATGGTGAACTGATAATGGATGCTGTACCTGAAAAGGTGAATAATCTAGTGTGTGTGTGTGTGTATACATGTGTAATTAATAAATCTATGTATGTGTGTATAAAATCTCACACTTTTGTCTTATTTTTTTCCTGACGTAAGTGGCAGTACTGCACAATTGGGTTGTTCCCTCTTATGTGGACAAGAAGCTCTGAAAAGATATAAAATTTAAAATACTCCCGCCTACCTGCTCATAAAAGGCAGTAGCCTCCTTCCATCCACAGTTCTTCAGGACAGACTGGTGAGGCTCACCGGTTGCAGCCAGGGAGATGTTGACCCGAAAGCTCCCTTGAAGGTGAGCTTAGAGGTACCTCTTCCACACAATTGTTACCGAACGCAAGTGGAAGGTTTTTGTTTTTTTTCGTTATGTCGGTAGGAAGTCCCATGCGCCTGCACACAGCAGTGGAACGCACACCCGAGTGATCTTGCGTTCCACTGAAGTTCTGATCGCGTGCATGTGCGATCGGTACTTTGAAAATTTGCAGCAAAATTGGCAATATAAGCTGTGCTGAACACACGGACACCTGGTTGGTCACCATCTTTCCGGTTCACTGTGTCACCAACCCTCCCACATGGCAGTGAGATTAATTAGTCTCTACTTTCAAATGCCTCAGATTTTATTTCTTATTCTAAGTTTTTAGTGATATTCTTATTTTATTTCAGATATGTCTAGTCCTGCATTCCCAGACAAGGACATAGAAAAAAATGTCGGCTCCACATCCCAGGAAGGCTACCTGTAAAGCTAAATACCTCTGCTGCATGGAATGCTGCCAGACTGATGCAGAAAAAAGACGTACAACCAGTGTGCTGCAAAATCCATAGAAAAATCTAAACAAAGGGAGATGCAATCTTTTTTTGAGCAGGTTTCAGGAAAACGTATCTCAAATGTTCGAATCATTTAAGGATTCGGTAAAGCATGACAGCGGTGCTGTTAAGACTCCAGAGAAGAAAGATAAAAAAACATAAGATTTTGAAGTCCTCTTAGCAATTAGATCTGTCTTCAGGTGAATGTTCCAATTCCTGAAGATCGGACGTTTCCCGCCTAGATTCCAGCCTGGATGAAAGTTTTCCTCCAGAGGAACTTAAAAAATTGATTAATGAAGCTGCTGCCTTATTTCAGGGAATAGAATGCACTAAAAGTAAGGCCAAAGGTTTCCCTACTAATCCCAGAATTCTGGAGCTGCTCCAGAGGGAGTGGAAAAATCCTGAAAGACTGCTTTTGTTTCTAAAAGCTTTAAACAGATTTTTAAGTTGCAAAGGGAAGAAAGATGGGAAGATCTACCAAAAGTTAACATCCAAGTAGCCCAGCTCTCCAAAAAAAAAAAAAAAAACATTCCTATAGGGGAATCTTTAGGTTTAAAGGAGTCTATGGATAAGTGCAGAAGGGCTTATCAGGCTGCAGGTTATCAATGCAAAGCCGCAATTTCAGGAGCAACAGTAGCAAAGGCACAAGGTGCCTGGCTCTTCTCCTTGGAGGATATGGTTCCAGAAAAAGCAGACAAAGACCTGTCCCACTTATTTAACCTTTTACATCTATCTAATGAATTTATTCAAGATATGACCAAAGAATGTCTCAAACTTTCTGCCAGAATCATGGGTATATCATCAGTAGCCAGATCTTGGATGGCAGATACAGCATCTAAGGCGAATCTGTGCGAACTTCCCTTTGAGAGGAACAAACTGTTTGGATCTACACTGGAAGACATTATTAAACGAATGGCTAATACTAAAAAGGCACTACCACAAGAATTCATATCCTCTAACATCAAGATGTTTCAATACAGGCGTCAGGATCCATTTGGTTTCAAAATAAATCTAGAGGTTTCGGAAACCATTTTGTGAAGGCAAGAGAGAATACCAAACCAAGACAGGTTCAGGCTACCAGGTAAAAGGAAATATTGACGCCAGAAGAGCGGGAGGCCGTCTAAAATACTTTGTTCAAAAATGGAAAGAAACAACTTCCAACAGTTGGATATGGCATACTATAGAAGAAGGTTACAAAATAAAGTTTACAAGAACCCCTTCAACATTCCTGTTGTCAACATACAATTCAAAAAAGAAGTCCGAAGCCCTTCTCACTTCCTCAGTAACCCTCCTAAACAAAGGAGTAATAGAAAAAGTACCAAAACACCAAGAGTTCCAAAGTGTGTACTCTCGTCTGTTTTTTTTACGAGAAACAGACAAAAGTTTTCATCCTATTCTAGACTTAAAAACAGTCCTGCATTCCGTACCAACGATTTTGCATGGAAAATATCACTCATCTTCTTCAAAAGGATGAATACATGGCGAAAATAGATCTCAAGGACGCCTATCTTCTTGTGCCTATGGCCGCAAGCTCAAGAAGGTTTCTCAGGTTTGCAATAAAATCAGGCAAACAAAAACTTCTCCATTTCCAGTTCAGGGCACTTCCATTTGGCCTGTCTTCAGCTCCTCGTATTTTCACAAAGATCCTTCTGCCTTCATAAGCCGCACTGATAATAAAAGGCATTGCCATTGTCCCTTACTTAGATGGTTTGCTGCTGAAGGCAGAATCAATGGAACATCTGGAAAGGAATCTTCTGCTTACCACTCGGTTTTTGCAGGATCACGGTTGAATAATACATTTTTAAAAATCTGCGTTATGTCCCACCACATGGATACTGTTTATAGGCCTGGTCTCAGGCTAATGGTCCCTTCAAGATCCTAGTCAGAAAGTTTGAACTACCAGAGATGGATCTTATGACCAACAGACTGAACGCAAAAGTAAGAAACTTTGCTTCCATTATGAAACAAGATCTCCCTGTAGTTCTGAACGGACTTTCAATGCCTTGGAAATTCAAAATAGCATACATCTTCCCTCAAGTAGCATTAATAGCTTGAATTGTACAAAAAAATCTGTGAAGTCAAGGCAAGGGTGTTGGCTATCCTTCCTTACTGGCCGAACCGAAATCAATCAGCTGGCAGTCTCTCATTGGGTTCTTCCCTGCTCTCCAACCTTACTGGAACACCCAGATGTCCCTATGGAACGGTTTGGTTGCTGCAAGGATAATTCTCAAGGAGTAGGGTATTTCCGACTCCATCTATGACACACTCCTTTCCTCCATTCATAATTCTGCCACTTAGATTTACTTTTGGATCTGCAAAAGGTTTTTTTACAGTGGTGCTTATCAAGGGATATTGAAGATGGTTGGTCTTCCATAACTTGTATCCTGGCTTTTCTTCAATCAGGCTTCAACTCAGGCCTTGGGGTCTCATCGCTTAAAATACAAGTTTCTGCCCTCAGTCATTTTATGGTAAAAGATTTGGCCTTTCCCACCTGGGATTTGTCTGTAGTACTTAAGGCGATGTGCAATTCCCCCTTCAAACCTTTGCAAGAGATTTCTTTGAAGATGTTGACATGGTAGCAATTAATTCAGCCAAAAGGATTGGGTAGCTGCAAGCTATATCTTCTGCTCCAGAATTTGCGATCTTTCACCAAGACAAGGTGGTATTACATCTCAGGCCTTTGTTTCTACCTAAAGTGGTTTCTCAACAGCACTTAAACCAGCCTATTGTTCTGCCTTCCTTCTGTCAAGACCACTCTATGGAAACAGACAAATTGGCACAGCCCTGATGTTGTAAGGGCCTTGGAAATATACCTCTGCAGATCAGCCCCTTACAGGATTTCTGACCATCTATTTATTAATTTTCAAGTAGCATTTAAAGGCAAGATGGCTTACAGGGCTACATTAGCCAGATGGCTTACTGAGGCCATTAAGTTGGCCTATAAAAACAGCAATGTCTCCCTTCACTTTCCGGTCAAAGCACACTCCACCAGAGCCATGTCTACTTCCTGGGCTAAGAGGTCATCAACTTCTCCAGAAGAAATCAGTAAAGCAGCTACTTGGTCCTCACTCCACACTTTCATAAAGCATTACAGGCTAGACATATTCTCCTCCTCTGTAGCTGCTTTTGGACAGAAGGTGCTCCAAGCTGTGTCTTACTAATTACCTGCCCATTTGCCTTAAGGGATCTTGCTATATCCCACTTGTGCAGTACTGACACTTACGACAGGAAAAAACGTAATATTACCGTAAATTCTGTTTTCATTAGTAGAGTGGCAGTACTGGTTAATAAATTATATTTTGCAGTATTTGGTCTCTGTATGTTCATTTTGAAAACTGTGGATGGAAGGAGGTTACTGTCTTTTATGAGCAGGTGGGAGTATTTTAAATTTTTATATCTTTTCAGAGCTTCTTGTCCAAACAAGAGGGAACAACCCACTTGTGCAGTACTGCCAAGGAAAATAAAATTTACAGTCAGTAAAATTGCTTTTTTTCGATAATTGTGACAACAAATATTTTTCCTTTTTGTAGGTTCATTTCCTAAACAGTTTTTTCCACAGACAACTGGTGACCAAAGGTTATAATGGGGTAAAGAGATGGACTAAAAAGGTAAAACTGCATTGTCTCTTCAATTCATAAAACTGTACATTTTAAACTATTAGTATCTCAATTTGCAGCATGAAATTCTTACTTCCTTAACCAGTCTCCCGTTTGTTTCTATTCTGGGGTCAGTGCAACTGCAAGACTTATCAGACTTTCACTATATGCTTCCCCTTGCCTTTATATTCTACACTGGCAAAGGGATCCTCGATGCTCCCGATGTTGTGGAATACATCTTCCCTGATGCTTTGCCATCAATATGGTTGTAAGAGCATTATGGGAGATGGAGTGCTAAAGGTTGCTCACCCCTGCAGTTTTTAAACTCTGTGCCTAACTTAACAAAGTCTTTTATTATATGACATTAAATCTCTTTATTCATTGCATTACCACTTATTTTACTATTTTTCTTGATTTCAAAATGGTCCGCTTGATCACTCCTCTGAAAGCATTTCCAATAAGTCCACAAACGAACTGAACAAATAAACCTACCCCAAAAACATGAAGCCCTGTTAAACATTTTTATCCTGATGCCTTTAATATGATTCATTTAGGGTGGGGACGGCACTAGCGACTGGGCAATAGCTGCCTAGCCACAATAGTTGTAAATGACAGTTTGCATGCCGTGAGTATTAAACGAAAGAACCGAAATGAAAAGGTAATATATTCGGCATTTGCCCTTTCGTTTTGTTTATATTTCGTATGCAGGACTTTCGGTTACGTTTTAGTAAGCGAATCCGAAAAAGTCTGAAATGTCAGACAAAATCATATTCGTCCGAAAACGAATGCAAATGTCTAGTATATCTATATAGCATATCTCTATAAGTCAATAACCGGCTGTGTTTAAATTTACATTTAGTTTGTTGGTACACAAACACTAAAGAGCCTTGGTTGGTTGGTTATACCAAAACAGAGACATTTCTGATTTGTTGTAAATTATCAATGATTCCTCATGTGTTTTTCCAGGTGGATTTTTTCAAAAAGACCATGCTGTTAATTCCTATACACCTAGAAGTCCACTGGTCTCTAATTACTGTGAACATCCCTGATAAAATAATTTCATTTTATGACTCCCAAGGCATACATTTTAAGTTTTGTGTGGAGGTAAGTGTTTGATATTTTTATTTAATCTACTTTTTGAAGTGTTGCTCAATTGTGCAGTTGTCTGATCCATTTTGGAAGTATTGTGTCAAAGGCCAGTTTCCTTTGCGGTTTCTTGTATTTCAGCTCAAATTACTAATTGAATTGTATATTAATCTGACTAAACCTAAAGTTTAACTGGAAGTAGTGCAGAAATCTCTATTCTTTAAATCTTTCCATAATTTCTGCCTTTAGTGCATGCAACAGAGATATAAAATGTGTTCTGATGTTTCTGACTTGCTTTCCCTTCTCCCATATTTGAACCAATGTTTGGTTTTATCAGTGCTGCAGAATGGAAAGACAGGAACTTGGAGCAGGATTTTCAAATGGAAAGAAACTTTAATAGTTTGTTTTTGTTTTCTAGGACTGCAATTTTAACATGTTAATATATGCATGTAATATAATTAATGGTGCCATTTATTCTTCCTTGTCCTATTTGGATCTTGATGTAATTACACATGGTAATGTCATCTGTCAATTGCACTAACTGTAACTGTCTATTATTTCATAACCATTACAGCACTTAGATTATTTAAGCTATTATAACGCAAAATCTAGTTTTTGTATTAGTAACAAATATTGTAGAGCACTGTATTTTTCGATGGTTAAACTTTATTGGATACTAAATGAGTGCAGTTGAAGTCTTATTGTCTTATATTTGGTAACATCTGTTACATTTCTGCATACAATTTGTAAAAATTGTTTTGTTCAGTTGATTTCGTTTTTAAAATTACGAGATATTTAACTAGAGCCATGCTTCTTTCCATCTCTTAAGAACATACGAAAGTATCTTCTGACAGAAGCAAAAGAGAAGAACCATCCGGAGTTTCTTCAGGGGTGGCAAACTGCTGTTACAAAGGTATATTTCATTAACATATAGATTTGGGCATTGTATTGTAGGGTATGTTCTATAATATACATCCTCCACTTTGCATAAGGCTGCACAGCGTTTGGTAGTCCGGCAGTATCACAGTCAAAGATGCTGTCAGAAGACAAGTCCTCCTTCATGCACGAGATTTCCAAGGTGAACAGAGAGACATACTAGCTTAAATATGTTTGTTGTAAAAACAGACATGTCAGTGTCTTAATTGTGTAGTTTAATGTTTAACACATTTCCTATAATGTAAGTACCAGGTAAATTTTCACTAATATAAATATACACACGCACTCTCTCCATTAGATATGCTCTCACACTCTACTTTAGCAAGTATATTTCACCCATACCTAGTCAACTGTATTAATAATCCTACCTCATCCACCATTATACTCTCACACACCCATTAAATTGTCCACACTTTGACACACACCACTAACAAGGCATTCATTTACAAATGTGCGCACACACAGTTTCCTGACTGAAAGCACCAGGATGATGGGTTATCATATCATTTCGTCTTTGCCTTGTTAGTCTAACTGCTTCCTAGGAGTGGTAAAGGGAACATAAAGCTGCCTCTGTTGACATAAATTGCCCATTCTCCTGCTCTTGTAATCTCTCCTTACTGTCAGGGAGAAATATTTTCTGTCTGTCTGCAACAGGTTACCAAGACAAAACAAGAATTCTTGCACCAGCCTCATGTACTTGTCTTCTACATGTTGTGCTTTAATGCTTAATGCACAAACCATATCCAAATAGCTGATAGGAGTAGTGCTGTTGTTTTCAACCATGTTTATTTTTATTTAATAACCTTTCCATAAAGTAACTTCTGAAAGTTTGATTTTATAGTGTATTCCACAACAGAAGAATGACAGTGACTGTGGCGTGTTTGTGCTTCAGGTGAGTGTATCCAAATTGTTATATTGGATTTTTATTTTTTTACTTTAAACCTACTGAGTAGATAACATTCACCAATACTGTGTAAAGTGTACTTAGAAATAACATAATATTAAAATGTACTGGTCATGGGACACACAACTGGCTAAGATTAAAGAGGAAAGATTCTAGCAACTGTACTTGTTTTAATTTAATGGCCACTACAAGTATGGCCTCTATTCCACCAGTCAATCCTCTGCATATACAACTTGTATATCCCTGTGAAATACAGGTTTAAGCCAATAAATGAGTACCCCAGAGAGCAGGGAAATCCTATTAAAAGCAGTTCTCCCCCACCTGCGTAAAAAGTATAATCCACTCGGTCATTCATGTACGGGAGTTGCAGTCATTAGGAAGGATCTAGTCTGAGACCAGGGCATTACCCTACAATAGTATAACCCAGGGCTTGACAAATTTGCTTGGAATCTAGGTGCCAGCAATAAAAGTTAGGAGCCAGGTTTTTCAATGTCAAAAATACAATTCTTAAAGGGACACTATATTCACCAGAACCACTACAGCTTAATGTACAGTTGCAAGAAAAAGTATGTGAACCCTTTGGAATGATATGGATTTCTGCACAAATTGGTCATAAAATGTGATCTGATCATCTAAGTCACCTGCACTGTGAATGTTTACATGGTGTGTTCAATAAAAACACGGCAACATTTCATTCTTTGTGTTATTCGTTTAAGCAGACTGTGATTGTCTATTGTTTTGACTTAGATGATGATCAGATCACATTTTATAACCAATTTGTGCAGAAATCCATATCATTCCAAAGGGTTCACATACTTTTTCTTGCAACTGTAGTTGTTCTCGTGTCTATATTCTGTCCCTTCACACTTTTCAATGTAAACTCTACCTTTTCAGAGAAAAGGCAGTATTTACATTGCTGCCTTGCAACACTTCTATTGACAGTCACTCAGACGGCCTCTGGAGTGCATCCTGGGTTAGTTCTGCACAGTACCTACGTATAGCATCTCCCCGCTCTGCATCAATGCATCTCTATGCTTATTGGCGCAGCATGACTTTTTGCTCCACATGCGCAATAGTCTCCCAATGCTTTCCTATGGGAATAAAGGTGAGTAAAATCGGGGGCGGGGCTTCAGTCATCTCCATGCACTGCTCCATAGAGCGCGGTTTAGTGATGCCGGGGTCGGAATTACGTCATATTCCGGCTCCTGGCATAACTGGAGGGCGCGCGAGTGAGCAGAGCAGGGAGGGAGGTTACAGCTCCCCCATGTGCCTGCCAGTCTGCCTCAGACTTCCAGGAGACTCCCGTCCGTGCGCGCACCAACGTTCTCACTAGCAAGGCCGCCCACGCTCTAACTGAGCTGGCCGAACACCCACACACCCATGCTCTTTATGAGCATGCCAGCCGGCCGCCTCCTCTAATAGACAGCCGGCCATCTCGGGGGCTGAATGGGCCAGCAAATCCCAGACGCCAGGACAAAAATCCTAGTCGCCACGGCTACCTGGCGCCTGGGATTTGTCGAGCCATGGTAGAACCCTCATATACATCTGGGAATGGTGGCTCTGAAACAAGGGTCAACAGGTAAATATGATGAAAAATTGTTATGAGTTGATAAAAATATATATATATAAAATATTCAGGGGAAAAGTCTTGACAGGCTCACTTCAGGGAGTTTAAAAAAAAAAAAAAAAAAAAAATTCCCAAAAGGTCCCTACAGAATTGGTTAGCATTCAAGTTGGTTAAATATATTAATACCTTAGTTGGTCCTTGTAGTAATAACTTGGTTTCTGCAACCATATTTACAATAGTTACAGAGTGATATATCAAATGTAACATCAAACTTATTAATATGTTACTTGACGTAGATACAATGTGAAGAGCAGCTTTAGACTCAGGCAGGCGAAATAAAATGTTATAGGACATAATAGTGACGCTAAATAGGGTTGGGGAAAGGCCCCAAACCCAATGGTGAAAAAATGTCCCACTCATCATCCATAATACCTCTATACTCTGTGAACAAAACTGAGTGCTCAGTATTAAAACCCAAAGTGCTCAAAAATAAAAGCAATAATTGTGTGAGCTTTAATTAAAGGATCTCTAGTGTCAGGAAAACAAAGCGGCCGCCTCCTCTAATAGACAGCCGGCCATCTCGGGGGCTGAATGGGCCAGCAAATCCCAGACGCCAGGACAAAAATCCTAGTCGCCACGGCTACCTGGCGCCTGGGATTTGTCAGGAAGACAGCCACTAGAGGTTGGATTAACCCTGCAATGTAAACATAGCAGTTTCTCTGAAACGTCTATGTTTACATCTAAAGGGTTAAAACCTAAGGGACCTGGCACCCAGACCACTTCATTGAGCTGAAGTGGTCTGGGTGACTACAGTGTCCCTTTAAACAGGGAATGAGTGCTGGGTTGTTGGCAGTTAAATTGCTCTGTAAAGCATTCAATATGAAGATAGACTCTCAGGCTAACAAATTGTCTGAAGGGACTATTTTATATATTTTTTTAAATTATCCATTTTGTTGTGCATGTAGAATACATAGAAGCAAGCAATGCCACAACAGCAGTTGTTAGCATAGTTATCCACATTCGGAAACAATTGTGGGCATCCAACTTTGCACATTAAAGGTCAAAAACAATACCAAGTGCCTTGGAGATCAATTATTAATAATCCCTGGACAGACACTTTATATTGTGAGTCCCTAGTATAAGGATATTAGAGAGGTATATGGTAGATTAAGTGTAACAAAAGAGGCTACATAAATGGCAACACTATTGCAAAGTCCAAAGTCTACCAATTGGTTGCAATTTTTGAGATCTGACACAACACTAGATATACTTCAAAAGTAACTGTTAATTTATAACAATTAAAGGGATTATCCTAAAAACATCAGTTTTAAGCCAGAGTCTGGCACTTAGCCTGAAACAATACCAGGGTAGCTTGTCTTTAAAGGACCACTCTAGGCACCCAGACCACTTCAGCTTATTGAAGTGGTCTGGGTGCCAGGTCCTTCTAGGGTTAACCCATTTTTTTATAAACATAGCAGTTTCAGAGAAACTGCTATGTTTATGAATGGGTTAAGCCTTCCTCCAAATCCTCTAGTGGCTGTCTCATTAACAGCCGCTAGAGGCGCTTGCGTGCTTCTCACTGTGAAAATCACAGTGAGAGCACGCAAGCGTCCATAGGAAAGCATTATGAATGCTTTCCTATGAGACCGGCTGAATGCGCGCGCATTTAGCCGACAGGGCGGATCGGAGGAGGAGAGGAGGCAGCTCCCCGCCCAGCACTGGAAAAAGGTGAGTTTTTACCCCTTTCCCCCTTCCAGAGCCGGGCGGGAGGGGGACCCTGAGTGTGGGGGCACCCTCAGGGCACTATAGTGCCAGGAAAACGAGTATGTTTTCCTGGCACTATAGTGGTCTTTTAACTTTCAACCAAATCTGGACGTCAGAATGATTCTTACATTAAAGACAGCAATCTCCACTCTACTAAATGCTGCCATAGATACTGTTGACATTAGACAAATAACTCCCTTCCCCCATCTCCTGGGGGTGCTCCTGAAATCGGTGGCAGGGGCTACAGAACCCTGCCTATATCTCTCGGTAGAGAGATTATAACCTTGTAAAACTCCTGATTAGGTAGACAAACCTAAAAATAGAAGAGGGCATTAAAACACACCAACTATTATTCTTATGCCCAAGTGCCAAATGTGAGAAAGGAAAAAAAAAAAAAAGAAAACAACAAAGAAACAGACAAAGCCCCAGATGAAGGTGCAGTTTAGTGCTGAAACGTGCCTTGGGTGTTTTTTTTTAATATTGTGCACGGGAGTTTTTGTAGTTGCGTTTGTTTGAATGTCCAAATAGCAAAGTCAAACGCTGTTTCAACCGGTCTCCTAAAGACCATCTGATTGGTGCAACACAGTGCTTTGCCATGCATGCTCACTAGCCTTCCAATGCATTACTTTTGGAAACTCGAAGACATGAAGGTGGGACTAGTTGCGGAGAGAGCAACAAAGCGTTTCGAGAAAGGTTAGTGAAATATCTTATAATGCACTTGGAATGGGGTGGTCATCTAAAAGACAAGTGGGGAGACGCACATTGAGGCAGCTCTGCACACTTGCCCTCTAATCATCGGCTAAATCCTGGTACCAGCCCTGCGATCGAGCGCATAAAGGAACTAGTCAGCTACCCAATTATGGGGGAAAAGTCAAAGAACAGCGAGCGGACCCAGGCATGAGTTCCCAAGATATCGGAGTAGTCCTCCGCACAACCCCGCGGCCGGAATCAACAAAGATGGCACCTGCTAAGGCCTACACTGCAATGTCGTCTGAGGAGGATAGGGACACACCTGATATCTTACCTCCGCCTAGGGCAAGCACGGTACCTCGGACACTTGCTGAACTCTGCCCCATCCACCAAAGCAGACATTAAGGCTTTAATGGCAGAAATTTAAACAGTTTAACGAAGATATGGCTCCGGTTAGGGAGGCAATTACAACACTAACAAATTGAAGGCAGTGAGGGCACCAAACGGCTACTGACGCCGCCATAAGTGCACTGCAAAAACAAAGCGTGGAACAACAGGTGCAAATAGCCACCATGGAGGACAAGGCCTGAGCACGGCACCTGAAAATGCGGAGAGTACCTGAAACAATCTCAAGTGCAGAGCTCCCCCACCCACTATTGTAGGAGACTGATTGCCACTCTGCTGATGCCGAAGCAGGCAAAACAAATGGCCGTGGACTCCTGCTTTTGCCTCACAAAGGCACCCAGCGCAGCTCAAGATGCACCCAGGAATGTTCTGATGACGCTAATGCAGGACTCTGACCATGGAGTACTGATGGGGACTGTGAGAGGATCTCCAACGGTGACGTTCAAGGGGGCACAGCTAGCATTCTTTCGGGACTTCTCTAGGCATACCCTGGTATGGCACAGATCCCTTTAAGCAAGTAACCCAACTACTACAGGAACAAATGGGGCCCACACCGACTAATAGTTGACAAGGTTGGCAAGACACATCAGATGGCGCATCTCTCAGAACCATCAACTTTCTTCCAGGCCCCAGACATAGCGCAGAACATTTCAGCAGCTGATCGCCCATCGTAGAATATTGCGGTAGTCGCCCCGTTTGGGCCCAGAAGGGGAGTGCTTGACACACACACCCTACCCACCTGAACTTTGGGGCATCAGGCAATTGTGTCTATTTTATGCAATGTGTCCATATGTTAAAGTTGCTCTGTTTACTTTTGTTATTTATTAATGACCACTCTGTTTACACCCTGGCTCCATAAGCCACTGATATGGCCAGTTGTTAAGTCCTTTCCCCACCCTTAATCTAACGTGCAAGGAAACTGCAATGCACAAGCAAAGTACTGCATGCTCGGCTACTGTACCGACCTTCTGAATAGGTATACATACTTATACACCTCTAGCTATAGAAGGCACCTACACTCTCCTCCCACCCCATATATGCCTTATATTAGCCCAAGTTTAACAGCACACCTATGATAAGTTCCAAAGCATGAAGCCCACTATCTGCACCCCTCTATATATAGCTTGCCTTACCTCTCATAGATGTGCGAGGGTGCCTAGCCACAAAAATGAGATGAACCCAGCTATGTGCTATCAATGTTAATGTTTCCAGCATGTACTTCTCTGATTCGCAAGTCATGTTATCTGCAAGAATAAATACTTTTTTTTTTTTTTTTTTTTAAAGACAAGTTGGCATATTTCTAATGCTAAAATGTTCCTTTTAATGTTTTTAAGGATGTGGTATATTTATTTTTATTGAACACCAAGGATCCACATCTTATATTTTCACTCTAATAAGTTTTCTTCTCTTTTTTTAGTACTGCAAGTGCCTCGCCTTAGAACAGCCTTTTCAGTTTTCCCAAGAAGACATGCCTCGTGTCAGGAAAAGGATTTACAAAGAATTGTGTGAATGCAGGCTCATGGATTGAAAAGCTGCTCTGTTTCCTCATTTTGAATACTTCCACAACTTTGAAACATGACTTTTGAAGGGTGTTTTATCCCTCCATTGTTACCTCAGCTGTGTTTTTTTTTTTTCTTTACAATTTATTTTTTTTATTTTTTGCTTTTCTTGGGATATGAAGTTGGTCAGCTGTGGGACTTCAACAAAATTGCCATGAGCATTCATGACACCATTTTGTTCCGTGTATTTAATATTTATTATGTTAGCATGCAAATAGGCAAAAAAAAGCATGCAGCAGTAAGAACTGTAGATTTGATGCACCTTCGACTTGTAGATAGAAATTACAAAACAGAAATATTTCATTTTGTTTATATAAATATAGCAGGTATCCCCTTTTTTTTTTTTTTTTTCTGCAATCTGGCAATGTCTGTATAAAATTATATCTACATTTAAAGGAAATCCCTGTGAAAATCGGATTAGGGAAGCTCCATTATGACGAGACACCTTTTTTTTTTTATAATCCTGCATATTGTCACTTTCTATTATTTGACATTTCAAAACCAATATTAATCTGTGCAGGTTTGGGCAGATGTTCATTGCAGTAACTTTGTGAGCTAAGGCTAAGCCATGCTGCCGCCGATGATGCCATATTTCCCTATCTGACACATATAGAACTGGATATTTCTGTTGTCCTTTTATGAAAGTTTGTTTATAATGGAGAAAAAAAATTGGGAAGCAATTTAAAGTGATAGGTTATTTTCAGCATCACACATCTGATCAGATCTGTCATTTATGATTTAGTCATGGAAAATTAGAACCATGTTCAGTTTTGTTACTTGAATCAAACTTGGCTTTAAAATCTGATGCAGCCGTGTATGGTTTTTACTTTAATACTTGGAGGTTGAAATAGTTAAACCATAGACCTTCTTCAAACACAAGTAGTGCATCATTGTTTAAATCCTCTGAGGCTTTCTTCATTACAGCCAATTGGTATTTGCCCATATATACACTATGATGGCATTAGATTCTACAGCAATTTACTTGCCTGCCAATTGCACTGTGTTCCATTTTCTGGTTACATTAGGCTCAGAGATTAAAGGTGTCCTTGATTTATTTTGCTTGGATTCAACATTGAAACGGTGCAGCCATGTTTTCTGTTCTCAGACATAATCCTATAGATACACAATTGTGCATACATACATTATTATGCAACCTTATCCCATGGCCTTCTGGTTTGTCTCAATATGTACACATTTACTGGTATTTTATTTATTTTTTTTCTCATGTATATAAAGGGAAACTATCAATAAAAAGAAAAGTACTAGAGTAAGACAAATATACATATTTGTCTATGGGTTAAAGTAGAGGGTATTTTTTGTGGGGTCAACATAAGCACAGTAACAACCACATTCCATTGTTGGCGTTATAGTGCTAGTACGCTGTGAGTGCTGTCGCCTGGTGTTGGGTCAAATTTTTGAGCATTTTGACTAAAACAGGTTCCTGAAGCCCCCGAGACGTTGACCCCACTGGATGTATTGCTAATACACAAGCTTGACTCTTTGTCCCTTTTTTGCAGAACAATTCAGGCAGACCTATAAATCTTAAAGGGACACTTTAGGTAACTGCTTCATCTAATTGAAATGGTTATAGTGTCTGGATTCACCTGATGCTGTCATTCAGCTCACTGTTATGTTTTAACTCAAGCAGTGGTCTTCTGAGACTATCAGCTAACTACTTTTTCTATCACAGTGCCTTATCACAGCACCCATTGCTGGTATCAATTGGTATGGCTAGAAGGAAATGTGTAATCACAGCTTTATGCAGCTCTAATGGTAGAAAGTACTCATAAAAATACAAACATTTGTGCGTGTGCCGCAGTATCAGGTTTGTGTTCCAGAGAACACACTACAATATCAATGATCAAAATAATCTTCAGCACTGAGCAATAGTGTCTCATGGTGGTTTATTACTCCAACAAACGTAAAAAAGGCTAGGTTTTGACACAAGACTTCTTTCTCAAGCTTGAGAAAGACACATCTTTCATGTTTGGCCATAAACCACCATGAGATGCTATGGCTCAGTGTTGAGGCTTATTTTAATTAAAGGAACACTATAGTGCCAGGAAAATATACTCGTTTTCCTGGCACTATAGTGCCCCCACCCTCAGGGACCCCCTCCTGCTGGGCTCTGCGGGGAGGAAGGGGTTAAACTTACCTCTTTTTCCAGGGCCGGGCGGGGAGCTCTCCGCCTCCTCTTCGGCTGAATGCGCATGCACGGCAGGAGCTGCGCAGGCATTCAGCCAGTCTCATAGGAAAGCATTCATAATGCTTTCTTATGGAAGCTTGTGTCTTCTCACTGTGATTTTTCACAGTGAGAAGCACGCAAACGCCTCTAGCGGCTGTCAATGAGACAGCCACTAGAGGCTGGATTAACCTATTTCTAAACATAGCAGTTTCTCTGAAACTGCTATGTTTATTAAAAAAAAAGGGATTAACCCTAGCTGGACCAGGCACCCAGACCACTTCATTAAGCTGAAGTGGTCTGGGTGCCTATAGTGGTCCTTTAATCAGTTCCTTAGCCAAACTAAGGGTTATTCCAACCTAAAATCAGTGTTTGCATAACACTGTTTTTGGTTGTAGTAACACCTTCTGTGCTGAAGTCGTAAGCTTACCTCTTTTCCCTTGTCTTTCCTCAGCCCGTTCCTTCTTGCCTGATCTCACTCACACTCAAAAAAGGGGGAGAGAGGGCAGGAAGGACGGACCAAGGGGACCACCGAGTGGGGGGTGGGGCAGGGGCATGCTGCCATTGGCATTAAGAATTGACATTAACTAGCCTGGAACTTTAAGGCAGTGAATGGATTAATTCCTGTATGGGAAGTGTTTCAAACCAAAATGCTACACGTACTGACAGCGGGCTCTACGACCACTTAAAATCAAGTTGTCATGGTGCTTGGAGTAACCTCATTAGGGGCCAGGCTGTGGGTGGATATGGACTGTTATTTCGTGTTAAACTGCTTGAAATGGTTTAACTTGGAATGGAGGGACTGTACCACTATATTCTATTCAATCAAATGTTCATAGTGTCTCTTTAAACTGCCAAACATCCAGCTGGTAAGAGATAAACTCTCATAAACTGTGGACAGTCACTTGCAGTGTATTCTGCCTGCAAAAGCATTTATTAGAAAACCGCCAAAGGTAATTCAATGCCTCTGATTTAGATTAGCAACAACAACAAAAACTCTCATACAGTAATGCATTGCGAAATGGGCACTCACAGCAACTTTAACTGTGCTTACTTTCCATCTGGCAAGTAGTCTCATATTTATCCCATTGGAATATCAAGCAAATTAATTTTACAGTAGCTTTTCCAAAGTAAAATGAGTGTGTGCGCTTCTACATTGAAGTTGCATTTTATTTTCATTTTTTTTTTTTAATCAAACAATTTTTTTTTGAAAGGGACACAAAACCTTTATTTTTATATATATATATATATATATATATATATATTCGAATTTAAAACAAAAATAAGCTAGTGTGTCCCTATGGTGCACATAGACAGACATAGTTATGTATAAAGAAATGGAGTTCATATTGTTTGATTACGCACAGCCTTAAGTGATCTTAGCTAATGTTGGTTAAAATAGATGCAAATTTGAATTACATTTTATTTCCATTGTTGTGCTTGACTAGAGAGATGAAAAATTAACCCCTATATTAGGACAGTGTTTTCAGTCAATACTGTACAGTGTGTGCAATAAGACGCTTCACTGTTAATTACAAATATCCTGTTCCCCTGAGCCCTAGCTTATTTTCGGTGGGGATGCTCGTTATATAAGCCCTACACTGAAAATAAGCTCTGCATGAGGACTTCCAGCGTCACCAGAATTGCCATGCTTTCTTATGGTGAAATCCTAATGCGAGTGCAGGGAAGGAGCGTGGGCGGATCTGACAACCAGGAAATCAGCGCTGGACCCAGGTAAGTAACAGAAGGGGTTATTAACCCCTTTTGCAGCACAGGGTGGGGGCCTTGACAGAGAGGGGAGCTTTAGTGCCAGGAAAACAAGGCTTTTTTTTTTTCTTTCTTGGCACTATAGTTTCCCTTTAATGTGCTTTGTCCAACATCTTCGTTATCAACAGTTAGGTCAGTGAGATAATGATTCAGTCTGCCTAATGAATTTTGCATTGGTCACTTTTTTTCTTTGTAATTGTCCCATTTGGCTTTGGCTGCATGTGTGACAATGTTTATTTGTGGGCAATAGAGTCATGTTCCTAGTTTATTTGGTATATAAGTGCGTAACAAATATATATTCCTGACCCTAGTGTTAAAATCACTATGTAACCCCCACCCCATTCCCCCATCAATATATTAAAATCTTACCTTTATTCCAGTCTGCTTATACTGGTCCTCTCACTTTAGTGTATAGCCCTTAGAGTATACCAACCCTTTTTGTTCAGCTAGACTTCATGGGAAAGAAGCATGTCAATTGTAGTTGCCCTTCAATTAAAGTGCAGAGCCAATACACAAAATAATAATCAACAAGCATGACTACCATGCTAACATGAAAATATTGATGTGTGTGTGTGTGTGTGTTGCAAGGTGCAAAACCCAAGTATACCACAGATCTATAAGGTGAATTCCTTGTGAATTGTTAAGTAAAGGTAACTGTGAAAGGGCCACTAAAGACAAATGGAAATCAAACTCCTTAAGCCACAGAAGGAAAACTAATGAAACAGATCAAACTCAGATTGCGCTAAAGAAGCAATTAAAATAAAATATTAAATGGGAAACTACATATAATGAGAAATGCAATTATGTAGTAGTAGTATTTATAAACTGCGAACTAATTTCGCAGTGCTGTACAATGGGTGGACTAATGTGTGTATTTGTAACCAGATGAGTTGTACACAGTAACAGAGGCTTCAGGGCCCTGCTCAAAAAGCTTACAATCATGGGGTATAGTGGCACAAATGGTAAGGATAGGGTAGAAAAGTAGGTTCCTAGGGGATAGTATTCACTGAGGACTTAGTGTTTTGTTTTGATGACAGTTGCAGGAGAGGAATCGGTGTGGGGAAGAGAAAACAGTTCGCAGTTTAATTGACATGCTTACCTGAAGAACTAAGTTTTCAAAGATTGTTTGAAGGAGTGGAGATTGAGTGAAAGTCTAACAGAGAGGGGAAGGGTGTTTCATAGGAATGGTGCAGCCTTACTTAGAGAAGTCTTAAAGGCGAGAATCAGACGTAGGTCTTCGTGAGAATGTAGTCGCGTACACAGGACAAATTTGTGTATTAGTGAGAATAGGTAGGTTGGAGCAGCCGTGTGTAGAGCAAGAATAGGCAACCTTCGGCACTGCAGAAGTTGTGGACTACATCCCCCATAATGCTGGCAAAGCATCATGGGAGGTGTAGTCCAAAACATCTGGCGTGCCAAAGGGTGCCTGTGCCTGGTGTAGAGATTTGTAAGCAAGTGCCAAGATCTTAAATTGAGAAAAAGGGAAAAAAAACCTTAGACTCTAAGGTGTTTTTTTCTAAACACCTTAGACACACCCAGGTAATCCCTAAACCCTGGACTGGTAGGGGGTCCTGAGGACTAACGTTGAGAACCCCTGCTGTAACAGGTCAAGTTGCGCATTACAGTAGTCAAGGCGAGAGAGGAGAGCAGCATGGACAAGCATCTTTGCCGTATCAGGTGTTAAATAGGGGCGGATGCACGCTTCGTTTTTGAGATGGAAGCGGCAGGTTTTGGCGATTGATTGGACATGAGATGTGAAAGAGAGGTCTGAGTCAAAGAGAACACCTAGGGAGCGAGCCTGCAAGGTATAGCTGATGATTGCGTCATTGACTTGGAGGGAAACAGAGAAGAGAGTAGCAACACTTGAGGAAGGGAAGACCAGAAGTTCTTTTTTGGACAGGTTAAGTTTAACCCCTTAAGGATACGTGACATGTCATGATTCCCTTTTATTCCAGAAGTTTGGTCCTTAAGGGGTTAAGGAAATGAGCAACCATCCAGTTGGAAATAGCAGAGCGGCAGTCAGAGACACGAGTCAAGAGCATTGGTGAGAAATCAGGGGATGACAGGTAAATTTGCGAAAGAGTGTGGTTATGAGCGTTTTGAAGTAGTTTTCTTTTGCAGAGGAAAGAGCCAGACTTTAGGAGTGCAGCATAAATTTATAGTGAAGGAAGTCCGACGCAGAGTAAGATTTTCTCCAGCAGCGTTCAACAGTTCTGGAACATTTTTAGAGGTATCTGGTGAGCTTGGTGTGCCAGGGCTGTAAACTTAGGGTGCTTGCTGCATTTACGTGTAGGAGATGCCATGTTGAGAGGAAGGTTGCAGTATTAGGGCAATTGAGGTTTGAGATGAATGAAAGGAGACTTTGGAGATTGGTGGAGAATCGTTGTAGGTCAAGACAGTGGAGATTTCTGCGAGACTGATGTGGTGAGGATGGTTTAATTTGAGTATGGGGTATGCCGATGTCAAAGGTCAGCAGCTAGAGGTCAGATAGAGGAAATGGACCATTGGAGAGATTAGAGGTCAAGAGTGTTTCCTGCTGTATGAGTTACTGAATTAGACACATATGAACATAAAACAAAAATGGTGTAGATGAATCAGTAATGCAGGTAGCCATACAGAGAAAAGACAAAGTCCTCTGCAGACCAGGTTAACGGTAGAATTCCTGCCTGGTGCCAAATTCATAAGGTAGCTGTTGGATGGTTGGCCGGGCAAGGGCCATCCTTTTAGAGCCCATTGAGCAAGTAGGGATATACGTAGAGTCCACATTTGTAATGCTGTTCCTTCACATTAAGACTGAATACACAATATTCACTGCCTTAAGAGCATTAGTGATTGCTGAGGATTAACATATTTTGCCAGTGAAGCGGGAGACAAATCTGTGAATAATTGTAGTCCAGAAGATATCTTGCTCTTCTCATAATCTGCTCCTTCAACGTATTAAAAATAAATTGGATCAATTACATCTTGGGCAGACATGGTAGGCAAATATCAGACAGGCAAATGGTGGACCAAGTCCAATAACAAATCATGTAAAAGTAGATTGTTACATAATCCTAAAGGACAGCATTGCCCATTGATTAAATAATAACACAAAGCCTTATATTTGTTACACCTGGATTGTTGTTCTAGGTCAGTAAGCTTCCATTCACTGGCAGTAATTCTGGTTTCTAATGCTTTATGTGCATTTGCCATAGAATTAGGAGTGGTCACATAGCTCCATCATTTTATTATTAAGATGGTTGGCATGATACTCTAAGGATACGATCTCTTTGCATTAATCACCTGCTAATTTCTGGCTACTGCTCGACAGCAACAATTGGAGCTTAACTAAGAGTTTCTTAACAGTAGCTTAGGTCCTTCACAGAAATGGTGGTGACATCACTGTCTGGTGAGCTGGAAGCAGGCAATAAAGGCCTGCAGTAACCAACTAGGGTAATAATTTCCAAACAAGTTCTCGAGGCACATCTACCAGTCCAGGATTTGGGGAATTACCCAGTTGTATCAAGGTGGGTTTTTTTTCCTTTCTAAAAACACCTTAGACCAGTGGTTCCCAAACTTTTTAGGTTCAAGGCACCCTTAATATTTCAATATATTTCCAAGGCACCCCCAAGTCAAAATTTCTAGGTTGCATATCTGTACAGCACTGCAACATTTACTGGCGCTATAGTGTAATGTACAGTGTTGGCATTTGATGGGGTGCTTGTATATAGTTTTAGTGTTTTAATACAGGGGTGTGTTTTTATGTAATGTTTGTGTTTGATTGCAGGGGTGTGTTTGAATGTAATGTTCATTTTTACATGCGTATGTACATTAGTGTGAAATATGTGTTTGAGTGAAGGGATGCGTTTGTATATCCTTTTGGCGTTTGAATGTAATATTTGTGTTAAGATTGCAGGAGTGTGTTTGTATGTTGTGCTGGTGAATGACTGCTTGGATGTATGCACATGCACTACCACATACATACTTACACAGATGTACATACACACCAACACATACATACACTGACATATACACACACATGCACCCTGATGCACACAAGCATTGTTACATGCACACATTATGACACAAATGTGTGCACACACACTGACATATACATACAGGAGATACACACCATAACACACACGTGATGTTTTTAATATCCCCAGCCACCCTCCTGTTTGCTTACCTTATGTGTCCTGGAGGGTGGCTTGGAGTCGTGGTCCTGCTGCTGCTAGTAAGTGTCTGAAGCAGTTGTGGAGTGCTCCTCTCCCTTCATGCTGCGACTGCCTCTTCCTCCCGCGCTGTCTCTCTGCATGATGCTGGGAGACAGTGACAGGATGTCACTTCCTCCCAGCCGGCCAACGTTACACGGCCCGGTCGTGGTCTTAGAGGACCGCGGCACCTGTTCAGCAGTAATAATAGCACCGGGGAAACATTCCGTGGCACCCCTGTTTGGGAACTGCTGCCTTAGACAACTATTTAATCTATAAATCCCGGACTGGTAGGAGTGCCTTTAAGACTGGTTTGGAAACCACTGTTGACCATACACACATATTAAGGCTCCCACGTCCCTCTTTTAGAGCCTTGAGACTGCATCACCGTGAGTAACACAGCTTCAGAGAATGGGAGAAGTGAGGATATTGGGGATTGATACTGCTTATATTGAGCGGCTTCAAGCAGGAACTTAATACCAGAGTGTCCTACTCAATCAACTTCTTGTTACGCAGCTCATTCTTAAAGGAACACAAACATATATTCCTGACCCTATATGGTTAAAACCACCATCTAGCTCCCCTGGTCCCCTCCTGCCTCCCTAAATATAGTAAAATCTTACTTGTATTCAAGTCTGGAGCTGCTTGCTTTGTCACCATTTCCTTTGACCTGCCCACTGCCTGCTGACATCATCAGAAGTGGTAGCCTGATCCAATCACAATGCTTCCCCATAGGATTGGCTGAGACTGACAAAGAGGCAGATCAGGGGCAGAGCCAGCACAATTCAAACCCAGCCCTGGCCAATCAGTATCTCTGAATTGAATCAATGAATCTCTATGAGGAAAGTTCAATGTCTGCATGCAGAGGGAGGAGACACTGAATGTTTGGATGCATTTTAGGCAGCCATGATCCAGGAAGGATCTCTAGAAGTCATCTGAGGAGTGGCCGGTGAAGTTATCACTAGGCTGTAATGTAAACACTGCATTTTCTATGAAAAGCCAGTGTTTACAGCAAAAAGCCTGAATGTAATGAATTTACTCACCAGAACAAATACAATAAACTGTAGTTATTCTGGTGACTATAGTGTATCTTTAACATTTATCACACAAAAGCACATTAGCATGTTTTATATTTTATTCTAAAAGACGGGAGCCGAAAAAATACATTTGAATATATCGTAACAGTACTGTTTGAGCCATATTTATCAGTACATAGATTAAAAAAAAAAAATAAGTTCCATATAACATAAAATTCCCAATTACTAAATAATTCCAAAAGAGAAGTCTAGGCCCCAACTTTGGATTCCCTCCTATATTTACATTGATAATCCATGCACATTTCCAAGTAATCCTTCTTGTATCCCATTTTGCTTGACAGTCAACTTGCAAACATAAAATTTTGGCTTGCACTGGTTCATGAAAACTGGTAACAAAATGTTATTCTTGAACAAGCCTGAGACTTGCTTTAAAAAAAATAATATTCCAGTGAAAATAATTTGATGACCCACTCCCTCCCCCTGCCCCTCCCCCTGCCCCTCCCCCCAATCAGGCTATTATGTGCTAGGTATTCAGGTAGGTTATATTTCCCTTCAGTAGACCTTCAAAAACAATATCTGCTTTCAAAAGCCATGATGAGATTCTTCAGAATGTTTGGACAACTTTTCCATAACCTCCTCTTCCAGCGTCATAATCTTTGCGATACTCATCTCTTACCTTAAAATAGAGAAAAATAATTAAAGATATTACATATTATACAATGCATAGAGAAAACAATTTAAACTGCGGTTCACCATTATAATGTTGCAATCTTATAGTTGTTACCTTAGGTCAGGGCTTGACAAATGTGTTTGGAATCTAGGAGCCAGCTAAACAAGTTAGGAGCCAGTCATTTTCCACAAGAAAATGCAATTCTTAAAGGGACACTATAGTCACCAGAACCACTACAGCTTGATGTAGTTGTTCTGGTGTCTATAGCCTGTCCCTGCAGGCATTTTAGTGTAAACACTGCCTTTTCTACGAAAAGGCTAAATTTACATTGCTGCTTAGCAACACCTCTAGTGACCGTCACCCAGACAGTCACTGGAGAGTTCTGGGTCACTGCTGCACCACATGCAGCACCCAGGTTCAGTCTCTCCAAGCTCTGCATGGAGGTGCTGAATGTTCCTCGTAGAGATTCATTAATTTAATGCATCTCTATGAGGAGATATGGATTGGTACATTTGCTGCGCATGCACAAAATCCTCCCAATGCTTTCCCTTAGGATGCTTAGCTGAGATCATAAAGATCATGAGGAAACTGGCACGGCGTGAGAAAATGGGGAAAAAAGGTGAGTAAAAACTATCGGAGGGGGCAAGGTACCTAAACGCGCACAAACACACTGACAGGCTCACATACACACTCACGCTGACAACAGGCTTGCACGCACAAATTCTTGACAGACACACATTCTGAGAGGCTTGCACACACATACATACATACATTGACAGGCTCACACACACACACACACACACACACACACACACACACACGCGCTCACACACACACACTGACAGGCGCGCGCGCGCACACTCTGACAGGCACGCGCGCACACACACACGCACACACACGCACACTCTGACAGGCACGCGCACATTCTGACAGGCAGGCGCACGCACACACACGCACACTCTGACAGGCACGCGCACACTCTGACAGGCACGCGCACACTCTGACAGGCGCACACGCACGCACACTCTGACAGGCGCGCGCGCACTCTGACAGGCGCACGCACACACTCTGACAGGCGCACACGCACGCACACATCCCTTAGGATGCTTAGCTGAGATCATAAAGATCATGAGGAAACTGGCACGGCATGAGAAAATGGGGAAAAAAGGTGAGTAAAAACTATCGGAGGGGGCAAGGTACCTAAACGCGCACAAACACACTGACAGGCTCACATACACACTCACGCTGACAACAGGCTTGCACGCACAAATTCTTGACAGACACACATTCTGAGAGGCTTGCACACACATACATACATACAGACATTGACAGGCTCACACACACACACACACAAAAAGACACACTTACAGGCGCACACGCACACGCACACTGACAGGCGCACACACTCTGACAGGCGCACACGCACGCACACACTCTGACAGGCTCTCTCACACACGCGCATTTTTGTTTGAATTGAAACCCACTCAGCCTCCCTACCTTCGGGAGAGCTGAGAGGGTATTTCCTGGGGTCTGCTTGTAGCTCCTCTCTGCTCCCTCGCACTCTGTAATGATGCCGGGACCGGAATGACGTCATATTCCGCCTCCCGGCATCATTACACAGCGCGAGGGAGCAGAGAGGAGCTGCAGAGTACTGCTCCCTCGTGCGCTGTCCACAATGCTACCGCGGGCGGCCGCCTACCTTCATGCTCCCGTGGGCGGCCGCCTACCTTCATGCTCCCGTGGGCGGCCGCCTACCTTCATGCTCCCGTGGGCGGCCGCCTACCTTCATGCTCCCGTGGGCGGCCGCCTGCAATATTCCCTGTGACGGCCGTGGCCACACTAATTAGAGAGCTGGCACATCCCAGGGCGAAATTTTTAGTCGCCATGGCGCCTGGGATTTGTTGAGCCCTGTCTTAGGGGACATCTATAGTTGTTACCTTAAGTGACATCTAATGCAAAAAGTAGAACAGGCTCATAATCTTTCAAATACCATTTGTTACACTATAGCATCTGGTTTATTGGCAGACCACACAATTCAATTATCTCATTCATAATTATAACTCTTGTCATTTCATACCACACCATACATTCTTTCTCCACCCTTCTGTACCCTCCAGACCTGTTGTCATTCACATCACACTACAATATGTAGATCATATTACTAAATATAGTTAAACAATATAGTAAATTAAATAGAATGTCTGACTAAGCCAGTAGACTCCCATGATGCATCACTAATCATGGAAGGTAAACAATTTTAAAATAAAACAACATTGTTCATGTCTTACTTGGCCACCAGATTTTCCTCGTCCATACTGTCTTCCTTCCTTAAAACCTGCATCCCAGTCTGTCCTAATGATTCGATCATCCAATCGTGTACCATTGATATACCTCATTGCATTCTCAGAATCTGCCCTTGTGTAGTATCTTGGAGTAAAGTTAAGGAACAATCATACTGTGCTTATACGATACTGCATCTGAAATTTCGTTATTTCAAGCTATATAACTTGCTGGCACAGAGAGGAGCCCCTTTAAAATACCTGCAATGAAATTAAAGGCGAGCTGTCATTCTGGAAGGTAATGACACACGCGAACAGCTAACCAAGTAATCTGCAGCAATTTTAATTAAATTAAATAAAACATTCCTCCTTTGCTCTTTGTTGATTTGCCTTGCTTTGGAGCTCTTCCTGAACAGGGCAAACCTCCTTCATGTGAGCAAATGGACCTCAGGCAAAGGCGTAACTAGAAACCACAGGGCCCCGGTGCGAAAAGTGCCCTCGGACCCCCCCCATTTGTATAACACATACAGATACATACACGGACACACAGAATGACACTTCTACAGATACAAACGCAGACACACATGCGGATACACAGGCACATGCACATTCACAGAATGGCACTCATACAGATATAAACCGTGACACACATACAGATACATAGGGGCGCACACGTGCAGAAAAACAGATACACAGAGACATTCAGACACACATACACAGATACACTTAATGACATACATTCAGACAAACGGATACACATACAGACACACATGTAGACAAACAGATACGCACACACCCAGATATACTGATACAGACAGACATTCTCTATCACACACAATATTTAGTGACTTCCCTGGGGTCCAGTGGCTGCCTCATGCTGATGGGAGGCAGAGCTCGCACTGACTTCCTCCTCTCCTCTTGTGCGGCGCTCTGTTGGGTGGGAGGAAGTGACAGCTTCCTCCCAGCTCTGACATCATCACTGGGGCCCGGTCGCGCTCTTAAAGCAACGCAGCGCTGACCAGACCCCAGGAAATCCATTGCCATGGGCTCCTTCAATGCGGCAACGGCGTTTTTTTTCCACACAGTCAAGGCCGCACCAAAATGTTGGCTTTTTTGGATGGATATTTCCATTCCAGCATTAATTCCTTTAATTTAGGATGAAAAGCAAATGATTTGTGCCTTCTTGGATTCCTGATAAGTCTATGCAGACTCTCAACTGGAAAATAATATTCTTTGTCTGAGGAGACTGCCAAATCTTCTGAGGATTAACGAGTCAGTCATGTGTTTCCTTTTCTTGCCTTTATAAGTACATATAAATACAGGCTCAGGAGGCACAGCTGACTGGGCTGTTTGAATGGCAGCCGATCTAATATCCAAATAGGTTTGTTGCAAACTGTTCTGGAACCACAATAAAATGAAGATACCTCAACTTTTTTAGTTTTCTCAGAAAATTTATTGGAACAGGTCCAACAAACTTTCTTTATGCATCCAACTGCCATAGGCTGGTTGCAAGAAGAACAAAAAAAGCATTGATTTTCACATATGGTTTCCTTTTGACTGACATATGAAGTGTCTAGATTAGACATTCTAAAAAAAGAGAAAAAAGAAAATCTAAGGGAAAAACTGCAAAGAGACCACAAAGGTAAAAGCAAAGTGTCTTACCCTAAATGACCTCTGGAAGGGCTGGCAATGGCACACTGCAACAGATCTGAGAGCACCCGGCAAACAGATATTTGCAACCAATAAATAATCTCCAAGGTCCTGAAAACTTGAAATTCACACCTTAAATTGAAGATCACTTTGCACATGTGCATAGCGTACCACAAACTCCCCGTAGAATGCAATGCAACCAGGATGTGCGTTCCACTGCCAGTAACTCCCAGCATGTTAATCAGATGCACCTTTGCCCTTTACAGCATCTGGCACGGAGCTCGGCGAAACTGATAAAATTGTGGAACGCAGGTGTCCAGTGTGTGTTCCAATGCTTTAGTGGAAGGAACCAGGCACTGAGCTCGCCTTCCCTGCTAAAGCAGAGCCCTCTGCCGCATTATCTTGCTCCTGGCATAAAAATAAAATTGTGACTGCCTACCTACCTTATCCAAAGCAAGCAGAGAACAGGGCTATACTGTGCACGTTTGGGCTTTTATATCATGCGAGGAGGAGTATTAAGAGGGGCTTAACTTTTCAATTTCTAGTGTGCCTACCTTTTCCTGTCAAGACACTGGATAATCCTGTTGTGCACTGCCACTTATCTGGCGGGTAAGGGGGCTTCCCATGAAAAATATGCACAAGAGCACATAACAGAATTATATGCATTACGCTCCCAATACAAACTATGCAGCCTTATGCTCAATTTGTTTTAGCATACACAAATCAGGACTATTCTACTAATTATAATTGGTCATTTACAATTGCAGATTTCTGATAACTGTACCAGGTACTCAGTGACTCTAGTTACATCAAACTAGACATTTAAAAACATTTCCTTTGTTTAAAATGTATCTTAGTTCAAAAACTGGTGAACTAATTGTGTTGGTACTTCTCACGCTTGCAAGGCCAGCCTTAACAACAGTGAAATCTTCACGCTCCCATATATTTAAAAGGTTAGCAAAGAAATTACACTAGTGCACTTGTGATCTTCTCACAAAATCGGAGGTTAAGATGAACCAAGCCAACCAAAGGGATTCAGTGCAAGCTGATACTGAATCCAGTCTACAACTTACCCTTACGCATGTCTTATTCGGTCAATATTTAACAGCTTAAAGTAGAGCGTGCCACAACACCAACGACGACTGAATTACAACTACATTTAAGACAATAGTAAAACACCTTAATTTTACAAAGGATACTCCACAAAACAGAATCCACAGGCTGTCTTCTTAACTTTATCAAGACCCATGACAATTTTCTTCACATCACCACTTTTGCTGAATAGTTCATGGATTTGTTCTTCTGTGGTGTAAAAGGACAGATTTCCCACATATAATGTGCAACTTTGTTTTAACAGTTTCTCCTGATCAGATCTGTTTCCCTGAAATAAAAAAAATAAAAAAAGCAAACATAACTCATTTAAACTTATTTTTCTGTTAAATCGTTTTTTATTAATTACATTTTAAAGGGACTCTCAACTTCCCAAATAAAAGTCACTATTTAGTAGACATACCTCAAATTAAAACATGTATACATCTATAGACCAGTGCCTGAACAAGGAATTGTGGAGAATTCACAAAGCCAGTATAATGAAAGGTTTGAAGTGCAGTTATTCTGCTGACAACTTGCGGTTTTCATTTCGGTTATTTATCATTTAGGAGTGTAGCGCATAGGATTTGATCAGGATGATTCATTAAACCAGGAACTATGGATAATTGATATGGGGATTTCAAATTTCATTTTACAGTTTGGGATATTTTTTCCAATTTTATTATTCACATTGCCCAGTTGAATAAAATAAAAAAGTTTCCATATAAACTATATTTTATTGGAACCTTTGAGCTAAAAATGCATTAAAAACAATAAAAACTTTTTTTTTTTTAAACTGTAAAAGATACATTATGGCTTAGTCTGCATCTGTAGATAGACCCCCCCCCCCCCCCTCCTTCTCAGGAAAACAATCTTATTCCTTAAACTCCTACTGTGGTTAATTTCCAAATGCAGTTCCATTCATCACATAGGCTAAATGGAACTACCCTACAAGGCTATGCTTAGCCTCAGCAGGGCTGCAGTGCACAGCTAAGATTACTACTGGGTGGAGAGACCATTGCGCCAGATTTTTGCATTCAGTGACTTCAAGGAAACATGGACAAATTTAACAGTGTTGCCAGACAACTCTGAAGAGTAGGCTCAAAGAAACACTTCAAGCACCATAATCACATAGTGTGATTTAGCGGTTATGATGCCAGGAATGCATGGCGTCTTCTCAGGTTAAGTAATCATGCCATTTGAGAACAGAAAAACTAACATGGGATCCACTGGTCACATCATCTCCTGGAACCTGGAAGCTCCTATTAGCTGCCCCGAGCTAAGCTAAAGCTCACTGGCTGAAAAAGTTAGCTGTTTGTTCTCTGCCAATGAACAATGCCCTGTGTTTTTCAGCTCAGCGCTGCTGTTTTTAGACTGCAGAGAATGTAGTTACTGGCATCGAGCACACGCCATGCAAGTTGTCAAACTGTAAGCAAACAGTTTGAGTACTTACCATGGGAGGATGCCAGGGCATATCTGACACCAAAAAACAGTATGCTGTAGTGGTTAAGGGGCATGGTGTGTTTTTAAAATCATAGAGGTTCTATAACTTTCTCAGAGCAGAGAGTCCATTCGATTATGACCCTTTAAGGACACATGACATGTGTGACATTCCAGAAGTTTGGTCCTTAAGGGGTTAAAGCAGAACTGTCACTTGTGGGGTTGTTGCAGAAGATCTCTCCCCCAGAAGTCATGTTGGCTTTCATTGGAATGCCTTTGGCGGGGTGGAAGGAAAAGTAGATATACTTCCCATGATACATCTTTTACATCTTTTACATCTGTGTAAATTATACCTTTATATTGTATGCTGATGAGCTTTCTTACACAGTACAGCAAAGGTGCTGCACATGTTAATCCACAGGCAGGGCTCTTTTTCTTTTTGTGTCAGAGTGCCTAGTAATGCTCTATCTATAGCAATACCAAAAATGTAAAGTTAGTAAGGCATTCTGATTAAGAGCCATGTCTCTACTCTATGACAATATCTTCAGCTAGCTTAATTTGCCAGGATTTGCATCTATTAGAAAAGAAAACTGCCTGCTCCCTTATTCAAAAATGGCAGCAAAGTTTTCCAGAAGCAAGGTGATAGATATGCTGCACTGCTAGAAAGAAGTGTGTTTTTAGAGCTAATGTTCAGACTGATTACGGTTTGCCTTACGGGCTCCTGGCTGATAACAGATGCGGATATTCTGCACATTTATTAAAGATTTGAAAAGGGTAAATCGGACACTGACTGCACATGCTAACAGCAATCACGGTCACACATTACATGTTGGGATCCGTGATACCCGGGCACGCACACTGAGTGCTCTTACTGATAGGAGTATCACGGGCACTCCCATCACGGGCAGCCAGCCGTTGTAGGTAAGATTGATAACGATTATCATTAATTTACCAATAGCGATCCATGTGAATATCTTCTGGCTGTGTTACAATGTGATTCGCAGTTTAGGAGTTTATTTTATAAACAGAGCCCCCTTATTAAATAATACATTGAATGGGCGGGGAGACATTGAAGGCATGCTGCACACGGCGCCCGGCGGGCACAGTGCTGCTGTGAGATACTGCATGCCGGTAATAATAATAATAACAGAGCAGGCCGCCCTCTCCCCCGGCCCCGGCCCGGCTCTCTCTCCTTACCCGGAAGTGCTGATCCCGGTACTGGCTCAGCTCCACGTACGAGTCACTCCTAAGTGCGCTCAGGGACATGTCTCCGCTCTGCTGGAGAACCGCTTCCACCAACCAACATGCAACCGCGTCCAGCAGCACAACCACTTCCGGGTCCGGCCACCACGAGCCAATCGTTAGATGGAGGAACAATAGTATATCCGGGTCACTGTGTAGCTGGGCCGCCGGCGGCCATCTTTAGAAAGGGCAATCCTGCATCCGGAAAGGGAGGGGCCTGCGTGACCCGGAAATGGTCGCTGTTTAGTGCTGTCGGGTAAGAGCAGCGGACAGACGGAATGTCACAGTAAATGCATTTACTATGTATTTTATCGCGCTCTTCTGTTACCCCATAGGATTCGAGTTACGAATTCGATAACGCCCGCTGTTAGTACATTAGGCGAGGTGTTGCCATGGTGCTGCGGCGGCTGCTGTTTAACCTGCTCAATAACCCGCAGATGATCGAGAAGCTGTCCGAGTCCCGGCCGGTGCGCAGGGCGGCGCAGATCACGGCCTTTGCGGTGATGAAGGCCCAGCTGTCCGGCAAGGAGGCGGCCCAGCGGGTGCTGCGCTCGGACACGGTGCGGCAGATCCGCCAGGAGGCGGCCTCGGGGGCGGGAGGAGGGCAGCTGGGACACCGCCTGCAGAGAGTCCGGGACTCCTTCCTCAGAGAGCTGCGGAGCGGCATGCAGGAGGCCAAGAGGCACATCAAGAAAGGGGACAACAAGTGATCGGCCATGGCCACCAACATGGGGAGGGGACATTGTCTGGAGAGTGACCTGCCATGGCCACCAACATGGGGGGGGACATTGTCTGCAGAGTGATCGGCCATGGCCACCAACATGGGAGGACATTGTCTGCAGAGTGATCAGCCATGGCCACCAACATGGGGGGACATTGTCTGCAAAGTGATCGGCCATGGCCACCAACATGGGAGGACATTGTCTGCAGAGTGATCGGCCATGGCCACCAACATGGGAGGACATTGTCTGCAGAGTGATCAGCCATGGCCACCAACATGGGGGGACATTGTCTGCAAAGTGATCGGCCATGGCCACCAACATGGGAGGACATTGTCTGCAGAGTGATCGGCCATGGCCACCAACATGGGAGGACATTGTCTGCAGAGTGATCAGCCATGGCCACCAACATGGGGGGACATTGTCTGCAGAAGTGATCGGCATTGTCTGGATGGCCATGGCACCAACATGGGACATTGTCTGAGAGTGACCTGCCATGGCCACCAACATGTCTGCAGAGTGATCGGCCATGGCCACCAACATGGGAGGACATTGTCTGGAGAGTGACCTGCCATGGCCACCAACATGGGGGGACATTGTCTGGAGAGTGACCTGCCATGGCCACCAACATTGGGGGGACATTGTCTGGAGAGTGACCTGCCATGGCCACCAACATGGGGAGGGGACATTGTCTGGAGAGTGACCTGCCATGGCCACCAACATGGGGAGGGGACATTGTCTGGAGAGTGACCTGCCATGGCCACCAACGTGTGGAGGGGACATTGTCTGGAGAGGTGACCTTGACACCTGTACTATGACTTTAATCTTAAGTCATATGTAAGGCCTTACTGATTGTAATACTAATGAATAAAACCTTTATATTGATGTGACAATCAATGCAAGGCAGTGTTTTGTACTGTCTCCTCTTCCTGAATTGAAAATGACATTTAAGAGTTTGAAAGTAATCGGTATAAAAAAGTTATATCCCATCTATCACTAGACACAAAATACATACACATTCATGAATAAATAATAAATAAAATTATTTAAAGGACAACTATAGTCCCAGGAAAACATACTCTTTTTCCTGGCACTATAGTGCCCTGAGGGTGCCCCCGCCCTCAGAGTCCCACTCCTGCCCGGCTCTGGGGAGAGAAAAGGGGTTAAACGTACCTTTTTTTTCCAGCGCCGGGCGGGGAGCTATCCTCCTCCGATCCTCCTCCTCTCCTCCCATTCGGCTGAATGCGCACACGCGGCAAGAGCTGCACGCGCATTCAGCCGGTCTCATAGGAAAGAATTTACAATGCTTTCCTATGGACGCTTGCGTGTTCTCACTGTGATTTTCACAGTGAGAATCACGCAAGCGCCTCTAGCGGCTGTCAATGAGACAGCCACTAGAGGATTTGGAGGATGGATTAACCCATTTATAAACATAGCAGTTTCTCTGAAACTGCTATGTTTATAAAAAAAATGCATTAACCCCAGAGGGACCTGGCACCCAGACCACTTCATTAAGCTGAAGTGGTCTGGGTGCCTAGAGTGGTCCTTTAAGAAACACTAGCATTATGAATATATATATTACTAATGCTTTTTGCGTTACCGTACCTATTTGGGTGTCTGCTGCATTTTACTCCCCTACCCCAAGGGTTTAAGAATAGTTTTACTTAGGGATCGATCGATATTGGATTTTTACATATATTTTTTTTTGAGCCGATAACCTACTGATATTCTGTACATTTACCATTTTGAAAAGCTGTGTGCTTCCTTCCAGTCGGTCACTCGATTCTTGCGTCCCCAGAGCCGGTGTGCCTTGAGACGGCCACCTGTGCTGCGATATGGATGCGCTGGCCCTGGGTGTGCTGGGCAACCGCTGTCTCTCACATTATCGGCAGTATAGGTATCAATAGTGGCCGATACCGATATTTGACAAAATCCAGAATATCGGCTGAACCGAATATCGATCTATCCCTAGTTTCACTTACTCTTACTCCCTTGCTAATGTTTCCAAGATAGCTGACATCAGCCAATCCAATACTATCCATAGGAAAGGGGAGGCAAGGTCACATACACAGCAAAACACCACACTGTACCTATTAAATTATCTTTATGAGCAGTATTTGATTAAATAAGCCTTGAAATCATAACATTGTTTAAATGGCAGGGTTTTAACCTACAGTGTCACAATGAAGTGGTCTTCTTGCCTTTTAACATATATAATCCTACATACTTCAGGGCAGGTCCAGAAACACAATCAATCTAGCAGTTCAAATGCAAGGCAAAATAAATCCGAAGATCATGTTAAAACATCACCCAGTTTTTGCAGCTCCAGTCCAACTTAAAGGGACAGGATAGTCACCAGAACAACTATATCTTAATGTAGTTGTTCTGGTGAGTATAATAGCTCCCTTTAGACATTAAAGGCAGTGTTTACATTACCCCTAGGGACACCTCCAAGTGGCCACTCCTTAGATGGCCACAGGAGGGGCTTCTTGGCTCAGGGCTGCACAGTAAGCAGCCCTGCCGTTCAGCGTCCCCACGCTCTGCTAGGAGACGCTGAATTTTCATCATAGAGATGCATTGATTCAATGCATCTCAATGAGGAGGTCCTGATTGGCCAAAAAGGCATTTGGCCTCGGCCGTGCCGATTTTAGCCAATCCAATGCGTTCCCTATGGGAAAGCATTGGATTGGCTAAAAATCGGCCATTTTGATGATGTAACAAAGGGGATGGAGCCCATGCGGCGCTGGAAATAAGGTGAGTTTTAAACTTTTATGGGGGGGTACAAGACACCTAAATGGTGGGTTAGACACTATAAAGTCAGGAATACATGTTTGCATTCCTGACCCTATAGTGATCCCTTAAGTAGTACAAATGCTTGCGAAATTGTAAAGTTAGCAGTCAACTTGTAAATTACAGAACTATTTCTCATAAAACATTGCATTACCCAGTGACCTCCCACTATATATATATATATATATATATATATATATATATATATATATAGCACTAATATATAAAAATGATATACAAACAGTTAACAGAAGTCAACAGAATTATTTTAAAATACATTTTATCTTTCTGTTCTATATTAAAGGCTTCTCAAGTTAAAAGACCATTCCAGGCAACAAAACCACTTCATGTCAATAAGTGGTTGTGGAGGTCAGAGTTCATTGGTGCCTTCTTACCTTTAAACCATTTAACATTTAAATGGAGTCCCCCAGCGCTAGTTAAACTTAATCTGCTACAGTCTTCACAAATGCAGAAGCATTTGCTTGACCAGTAGTAATAGGTTTAGCACATTACCAGGAAAGGTTAAAGGATCTTAACATGTATAGCTTGGAGGAAAGACGAGACAGGGGGGATATGATAGAAACATTTAAATATATAAAGGGAATCAACACAGTAAAGGAGGAGACTATATTTAAAAGAAGAAAAACTACCACAACAAGAGGACATAGTCTTAAATTAGAGGGACAAAGGTTTAAAAATAATATCAGGAAGTATTACTTTACTGAGAGGGTAGTGGATGCATGGAATAGCCTTCCAGCTGAAGTGGTAGAGGTTAACACAGTAAAGGAGTTTAAGCATGCGTGGGATAGGCATAAGGCTATCCTAACTATAAGATAAGGCCAGGGACTAATGAAAGTATTTAGAAAATTGGGCAGACTAGATGGGCCGAATGGTTCTTATCTGCCGTCACATTCTATGTTTCTATTAGTGTGTACATGCCAATGGCGTTGATTGGGTTACTTTTATTCACGGTGTAATAGAGCGGGGATAAAAAAGGGTTTCTTTTTGGGGATTATTTTGTATGCGTGAGGTGGAAACATTGTTCCTAAGTCAGTTTACAGAGGTTTCACAGTACATTCTACTTTAAATCTCCAGTTCTTCCCCCTGATCATTTTATTTTGGACATACCTGCTGATATTTAAATGCTGTGTGTGTAAAGGAAGGGGGGTATTTGTAATGTTGCTATTTAAATGCAGTGTGTGTAAATGAAGGGGGGGTATTTGTAGTGTTGCTATTAAAACAGCTTCCCCTGTTGCAATGATTTGTTCATTTTTGCCAATAACTCTTTATATGCCGAATGACTCTTTTCATAAAAAGAACATTTGATATGTTGTAAAAAGATAGGGGCTTGGGGAGACACTTATAGAACATGCACTTTTTTTAATAGTTGTGCTGGTGAATACTTTGGTATATATTAAGTACAAAAAAAATACTTTAATGCAAGCACAAAAAAGACACTTTCATATCTTTTGAAGGTTACATAAAATAGCCAGCCTCAGGCAAAACATGTAAGGATGTGGTCATTTGCTGTGGCCACATGGTACTAAACCCAACCACACAATACATTAATCAGCTACAACCTTGAAACCTCCTGCTTAATATTGTGTAGGTTGCCTTCGTGCTGCCAAAACAGCTGTGATGTGATCAGACATGGACTCCACAAGAATGTGTTCTGTGGTGTCTGGTAACAAGACATTAGTAGCAGGTCCTTTAAATCCTGCGAGGTGGGGCCTCCATGTATTTGATTTGTTTTTTTTCAGTACATCAAACCTTGAACATTCACATGCCTGAACAATTGTTCAAGGGTGCATTATCCTGCTGAAAGAGGCCACTACCATCAGAGAACACCATTTCAATGAATGGGTGTATGTGGTCTGCAACAATCTCTCGGGAGGCGGTAAGTATCAAAGTAACATCCACATGATTGTCAGAACCCAATGTTTCCGGTGGCCTGCCATCTTCGAACAGTGCATCCTGCTGCCATCTCTTCTCCAGGTAAAAAACTCACGCACCCGGCCATCCACCCGATCTAAAAGAAAATGTGATTCATTAGACTAGGCAACCTTCTTCCATTTCTCCATGGTCCAGCTCTGACGGTCACAACCCCATTAACCTCTTAAGGACCAAACTTCTGGAATAGAAGTGAATCATGACATGTCACACATGTCCTGTGTCCTTAAGGGGTTAAGGACACAGCTTCAGAAGCTTGTCTTACGCTTAATGACACAAGCAATTTTTGTATTTTCTTGCTGTATGAGTTCAACTGCAATTTGCATCTCTCTCGTTTATTGCACCAACACATATTATATACTGTTTTTTTAAAGGACAGAAATGGCTTTAATTTGATGTAACACACACACATATATAAATGCTTATTTATTATTAAAAAAAAAGAAATTTTGTGGGGTTTTTTGTACAGTTTTTGCAATAATGTGTGCCTAATTAGTGCAGGTTAAAGAAAGTAATTAAAAATAAATTCATTTAGTTGTTCTGATTTACAGAATATATAATGTGTCTGGGATTTTAAGTTTTTTTTTTTGGTAGTTACAGGTCACAAAGCACAAGGAATAAAATAAACTTTTAATGTGGAGCGATTTTAGAATTTGGTATGTTTGTCTTGTAAGCTTAATAGCCATAAAAGAAAACAAAATTGCCACAAACGTATATATTTATATAAAGTAGACATCACAGGCTATTGTCCTAAGGTTGTTTTGACACTTTCTACGTAGCCATTTCACCGCCAATATCTGCTAAATATTGGAGTAAAATAAATTTTTTGGGGGATTTTGGCACACAAACTTATAACAAAGAACTTCTCATGTGTATTTTGTAAAGTTGGTGTGTGCTATTTCTGTACAAAGTTTTATTTTGTGTTCAGTTACTTCTGCTGAGTACAACGATACCCCCGTTGTATGTCTTTGGCACTATTTCGTGAAGCTACAGTGCCATATAGGAGACCTGTCCGTTTCAACATTTACAGTAGAATTTTGAGAGGCGGATTTAATGGGCCTATGCATCAATTTGGGGTATTATAGCAGTTTGACTGTTCAAAAAAACCCCACAAAGGCCTACCATTTGTAAAAGTAGACACTCCAGGGTATCTCATATGGTGCATATTGTG